CTTGGGCCTACAGCTGGACATGGCGTCCCAACGCTGCCTTGTTGCAGACTGTGGCTTCTGCGTTGCCACAAGCGCTCTGGCACCGCTAGCGTCGAGAAGAGGAAAAAACTGGAAGAGTGAATGTCGCCCTGATATGATTCGGATGATTGAAAATCATAAATTTCTAATGTTTTTTTTTGACCCTTGAAGAGCAAAATCGCGTCACCGCGCAGGCGAAACGCACATTTTCACTGTTGAGTCACACGCCTGCCAATCGAAATGAATGTCCATGTTGCAAACATTTTTTGACGACTCCTGCAAATACCAGCATTTTGTCTCTTAGCCTCAAAAATCAGAATTTCAAATTCGTCACCCTTACAAGGGCGCCGAGTCAACCGGTTGCCTAGTTTTTTGGGAGCTTCCCTGGAATCTTCCTCACACTAACCCACTGACGACTCCTGGGTAGTTAGGCCACCGCCCGCAACAGCTCGATACAGCTCGTGGGTTTTTACTGCTTTTTGGCTTCTTCTGCTTGAAAATGATGCTACGCTGCAGCACGTTGTCTTGGAACTTGCGTCATGTCACCAGGGGGTGAGGGGTGGGCGGATGTGTTCACGTACCTGGCACTTAGACTTGAAGATGATGCTACGCTATAAGCACGTTGTCTTCGAACTTGCGTCATGTCACCAGGGGGTGAGGGGTGGGCAGGTATGTTAAAGTACCTGGCACTTGCGTCTTGTGAAGATGATGCTATGCTATAAGCACGTTGTCTTGGAACTTGCGTCATGTCACCATGGGGTGAGGGGGGGCGGGTGTGTTAACATACCTGGCACTTGCGTGTTGAAGATGATGTACGCTGTAAGCACGTTGTCTTGGAACTTGCGTCATGTCACCAGGGGGTGAGGGGTGGCCGGGTGTGTTAACGTACCTGGCACTCTACGCTACAGCACGTTGTCGTGGTACTTGCGTCATGTCACCAGGGGTGAAGGGTGGCCGGGTGTGTTAAAGTACCTGGAACTTGCGCCTTGAAGATGATGCTACGCTACGAGCACGTTGTCTTGGAACTTGCGTCATGTCACCAGGGGGTGAGGGGTGGGCGGGTGTGTTAACGTACCTGGCACTTGCGTTTTGAAGATGATGCTACGCTACGAGCACGTTGTATTGGTACTTGCGTCATGTCACCAGGGGGTGAGGGGTGGGCGGGTGTGTTAACGTACCTGGCACTTGCGTTTTGAAGATGATGCTACGCTACAGCACGTTGTCTTGGAACTTGCGCCTTGTCACCAGGGTGTGAGGGGCGGGTGAGTGTGTTAACGTACGTGGCACTTAGACTTGTGTCTTGAAGATGATGCTACGCTATAAGCGCGTTGTCTTGGAACTTGCGTCTTCAATGTCTTCTTCTGTGACAGCCTTATTTGCTGAGAGCATTCATCTTTTTTGATCTTTTTTGGATGTTTGAAACACGGACAGGTTTTGCAATTGCATGTCTCGCTTCTGGCTTAGTGCCTGACTTGGGGAGGGGCAGGCACATGTTTTATATGTAGAGTTGTGTTTGAACAGAGATTCGAAACTTCACGGAGCAAAACCAAGACACTATATACAATCTGAGACTGTTTCATACATGCAAACAGGACAATGAGAAGTCAAGCAACGCAACACATGCAAGCCGTGAAAATGAACAGACCAGACAGCTTTTAAAGCGGTTGTGCTTGTCGTTCTTGTTCTTACTTGAATTCCTTCTCCAAACGAGAAGTTCCCATCTCTTGAGCAAGGTCCATAAAGGGTGCCTTGGCAAGTGCCTAACGCATGTCTGGCTCATTGCACAAAGGATGTAAGGAATGACAATGTGTCTTTCCAGGTTAGTTACGGTTAGTTACCATGCCCCCAAAACATGTCTTGGCTAGCTTGAATCAAAACATGTGAGGTTCAACACCACAGCCTTCGCAGATGGCAACTGCGCTTGGCGCTCTGAAGCTTTTCGTTTGGGTTTGAGGTTTGAGTCGGCGTGCCACCAACAGAAAGTCTTTGTTCGGAACATCCATGACCACATGGACGCTGGAACACAAGTCCTAGATCCTTCCTGGTTAGAGTTGAAACGTTTCTTGGGAAACAAGTTTCCAGTCAGCCAGTCAGTCTCAAAGTGGCAGGCCGCCGAAGGGTTGATCCAGCTTTATCTGACCTTGTCTTTCAATTTGTCTACTCTACCGACAGTCGGAGATGCCTGCCCCACACCAAACAAGTTCTATTCAGCATTGAAAACATTGCTGAAAACCACGCAACTTTCCAACGCTCAGAAGGAAAAACCGTTGACTTGCAAACCCTGACAGGTGGAATGTGTAAAAACACGCAATTCCTATGTGAAAAGAAACCGTGTCCAATTCCCCCTATGACTGCGAATTCAGAAATTTGACTGGCCGGAAAACACGTTTCATCTTGAAATTAGAATGGGAAAACCACATGAGATATTTCCCTCAATGGAACTACGCGTTTCAAAACTTGTTTGATGGTCCCATATTTTTCCCATTGAAATTAGAATGTGACAAATACCATGTCGTACCACGGTCCGATATGAGCGGTGGACCTAGTTCACGATATTTCAACATATTTCAACATATTTCAACATGTTTCAACCCAGCTGCACGCAAACGTGGAGCCCTTTGAATCCAGAACTTCAGCCGAGTAGGTGCCAGACGGGCACGCCTGGCGGCTGAACAATCACTTGCGCCTCCAAAATTGTGGTCTGGCTGGGGCTGGGCTGCTGCTTCAGGAAATTCTATTCTTCTCAAGGCTTAATCTTCATGGACCAGATTGAATCATTTCCTTGGGGGGGATTGATCACACTTCATCATAATTGATGAAGATAAAAACATTTCAGCCAAAAAACACCCGCCCAACAATGTTTTGACTGGCTGGTACACCGGGATGCACACTGGGACCCCTCAAAGCACATCACCAAACTGGTCTACTTGGGGAAAGGATGGTCAACCCTGCAGCATCAATCTGTGCTACCCACTTTGGTCCCAACATTCCGTCCTGGTGGACGAGTCACTGCGATTTCGGAAATCTTCAACTTTCTCTTCAAACGTTTCCAACGACCCAACAAAACCATAGTGGGAAGACACATGCCACCTGGCTGTGTCTAAAAAAAGGGTATGCCGTTTATGCCATGGTATGCCGTATGCTCAGTTTAATCATGTGGCAAACCCAACAATGAACCATAACAACCATCCCGAATTGGATTTATGAAATTGGGTCCACCGATTTCATAGGGGGATGACTTTGACCCCCCGCCTTGCACATCAAGCCGCTGGGATCCTTGCGATCTGCTACATACCTGGGAAATGTCGCGCTCTCAGTTTCCCAATGTGGAATCTCACGGTAAAATATCTGCACCAATGTTACCGGCCAAATAATGGGATTTAATATGATTCAAAAAAATTACTTTACTTCGAATGATCCCCACCATGATATTTATACATTTTCTTACTGGCAAATCTTCTGGCATTCTATCTGACATATCTTCTGGCATTCTATGTGGCATTCTATCTGGCATATCTTCTGGCATATGTTCTGGCATATCTTCTGGCATTCTATCTGGCAAATCTTCTGGCATTCTATCTGACATATCTTCTGGCATTCTATCTGGCATTCTATCTGGCATATCTTCTGGCATATGTTCTGGCATACGTTCTGGCATATCTTCTGGCATTCTATTTGGCAAATCTTCTGGCATTCTATCTGACATATCTTCTGGCATTCTATGTGGCATTCTATCTGGCATATCTTCTGACATTCTATCTGACATATCTTCTGACATTCTTTCTGGTATATCTTCTGACATTCTGTCTGGCATATCTTCTGACATTCTTTCTGAAATTCTTTCTGGCATTCTATCTGGCATATCTTCTGACATTCTATCTGACATCTTTTCTTCCCGTTGAGGTCCGGCAGTGCCCACTGCGATCTGGAAGTCGCGTTGAGGTCCGGCAGTGCCCACTGCGATCTGGAAGTCGCGGTTGAGGTCCGGCAGTGCCGACTGGGATCTGGAGCTCGCGGTTGAGGTCCGGCAGTGCCCACTGGGATCTGGAGGTCGCGGTTGAGGTCCGGCAGTGCCCACTGCGACCTGGAAGTCGCGGTTGAGGGTCCGGCAGTGCCCACTGCGATCTGCAACTCGCGGTTGAGATCTGGAGCTCGCGGTTGAGGTCCGGCTGTGCCCACTGGGATCTGGACTGCGAGGAGGAGGCGGAGGAGGACGAGGAGGAGGAGGAGGATGCGGAGGCGGAGGAGGAGGAGAACAGCTCTGATAAAATCTAACAACCCTCACCTGGCAGGTGGGGAAGAACTATCGATGGGGGGCTCAACGGGACTTGACCCTCTTCTTAAAAAAAAACAACGGGACCATTCACCATTTGTGGATCATGTTCGGATGGAAGTCATCGTTGTTTGCAATATCTATTTGAAAATTTAATGATTTACTGCGAAAAGACCAATCTGGGGTTGGCGGGTGCGGTTCCCTTTTCAGACTAGGCAAGACGCAATGCGAGCTCATCCTGTCTCACGTTGGATACACCGCATCTTTTTTAAAGGTGGAACTTGGAATTATAGGACGGGATAGCCCCACATGTTAACAACTTCTCCAGACTTAGACTGAGCATAGAAAAGCAACAAGGGAAGAGGAAGTATGAGAGTGATGGAGGGGTGATGGTGGGTTTTTTGTGTATGAATGCATGTGCATGTACAGGTGTCTCACTTTGGTAGTGTTAGCGATATGTGTACCGGGTGTAAGAGGCAGTTTGTAATATATGTGATGTACATGCGGATGTTATACGTATGTGTATGTGTGTGTGTTAAGTGATAAATGTAAATGTATGCAAGCGGAAATATACTTATCTTGTTGCATGTGACGTGAGGTTATGATGCGGAGACCAAGGAACGCCAGGGCGTACATCCGACCGCTTGCAGAGCACCAAGCGCCGCACCTGCCACGCAAAAGCCCCGGCAGAGCGGCGGAGACCAAGGGACGCCAGGGCGTACATCCGACCCCTTGCAGAGCACCAAGTGCCGCACCTGGCGTCCCTTGGTCTCCGCCGCTCTGCCGGTGGCTTTTGCGTGGCAGGTGCGTCGCTGGTGCTCTGCAAGCGGTCGGATGTACGCCTTGGCAGGTCTCCCGTCGCTCTGTCCGGGGGCTTTTGCGTGTTTCTGCAGGGGGCTCCAGATGTACGCCCTGGCGGTCCCTTGGTCTCCGTCGCTCTGCCGGTGGCTTTTGCAGAGCACCAAGGGACTCCATGAGGGCTTCATCCGACCGCTTGCAGAGCACCAAGTGCCGCAGCCTGCCACGCCATCCGACCACTTGGCATACGACACCAAGGGACACCATGGCGTATACAAAATCCGACCCGCTTGCGAGCACCAAGTGCCGCACCTGGCTGTCCCCTTGGTCTCCCCCTCTGCCGGTGGCTTTGCGTGGCAGTGTCGGCTCTTGTGCTCTGCAAGCGGTCGGATGTACGCCTTGGCATGTCTCCTTCGCTCTGGCTGCCGGTGGCTTTTGCGTGGTTCTGCAGGGGTCAGATGCACGCCCTGGCTTCCCTTGGTCTCCGTCGCTCTGCCGGTGGCTTTTGCAGAGCACCAAGGGACGCCAGGGCGTACATCCGACCGCTTGCAGAGCACCAAGTGCCGCACCTGCCACGCCATCCGACCGCTTGCAGACGACACCAAGGGACACCAGGGCGTATACATCCGACCGCTTGCAGAGCACCAAGTGCCGCACAATGCCGCACCTGCCACGCAAAAGCCACCGGCAGAGCGGCGGAGAGCAAGGGGCGCCAGGGCGTACATCCGACCCCTTGCAGAGCACCAAGTGGTGCGGCATGCAAAAGCCACCGGCTCGCACCTGCGACGCCATCCGACCGCTCGCAGAGCACCAAGCGCCGCACCTGCCACGCAAAAGCCACCGGCAGAGTGATGTGAGTGATGTGTGTGCGAGTGATTGTGTCTGGGATGTGTGCGTGTGAGTGATATGTGAGTGGAGTGGAGTGGAGTGGAGTGGAGTGAGTGATGAGTGTGTGGTGTGTGTAATTGGGGTGCTGTGTGGTGTGTGTAATTGGGGTGCGTGATGTATGTGTAGTGTGAGTGATGTGTGTGTGTGTGAGTGAGTGAGTGAGTGATTGCTTGTGTGTGCGAATGAGGCTGTGTGTGATTGTGTGATGTATGTGTGAGGGAGATATGTGTGAGTGAGGATTTGTGGACAGGCGGGAGGAGGAGGAGGAGGAGAAGGAGCGGATACAGCACTAAAAACAAAAACCCCACACGTCAATGTGGGGAACAACAAAACACAGATTGAATCATCTAGAAAATAATCTACAGTAATCCCATAAAAATAACGTTCCATCTTACATCATCTTACATCTAGGTATTCAAAATAGTCAAAGATGTTGGGTGAAACGACGCAATCGCCTCGCCAAGTGGCTGATTGGTGGCCTCATGGTACAAACCGAAGCCGGCATAGCATTGGGTCACATCCTCGAGGCCAGCTTCAGTCAGCGATGATTCGAGTTCACGGAAACCACATGAAACCAGAGAGTGCAACACCAAGGCCCCAAAATGTAGAGATAGAATGGGATAGAATTCAAATGCTGGTTGCTTCATAACAAATCAAAAGGGGAAAACAACAAGGCCTTCTAAAGTGTAATCATCCCAAAATCGTCCGGATAGCTACGGAACATCGGACATTTGATGGTCTGAAGACACGCATTGGTTGAAGGATTTTTCCTTGACATCTCACATGTATTCACAGGTAAAGGACCTCCTTACCACTAACAGCTGGACACACAGAAATTGAAGCATTTCGAAACATCTGCATGTTTCCCATGTCTACTTGTCGTCAGAAACAACCCTAAAACCTTTGTGCCTGTGACAATTTCGAGGAGTTCTTCATGTTTTCGCTATCACAACACATACCGGGATGGTAAAAATCCATGTAAGTTCTGGCAGTGCAAGCATGGATAAGCATCATGCTCCCACGGACCCACGTCTGACTATTCTTGGTCTTGGTTTGCGCGGCCCTCCGTTCGAGGATTTGAAGGAAACCAACCCCAGTGTCTTGTCTTTTCGTTCCAAGCACAGTATCAAATTTCCTCCAGAATTGAATTGTTATTTTCTTCTGTGGGTGGGCAACCCAATGCCAATTCCATAAAGAAGGTGGCGGCGCCTGTAAGAGGCCCGCGGCCTTGAACGTCTTCATGATATTTCATGATTGCTTTCTATAGTCCATCATACAAAATTCCCAGTTTTTGCATGGTTGGATCTGTAACTTTGACATTTGGATGTCCCTTCGTACTGTAACGGTAGTGAATTTACCTCAGGTTTGGTCATGTTGCTAGCACGAACTCGACATTTTGCAGTTGAAACTCCCAAAAAGAAGGTTCATTGGTCATTTTTTTCAAATGGCGGTAAGAATTGTGTTCCGTGCCAGAAGATGTTTGGCCCATCATGTCTGCGACGTAGTTTTTTTTTTTTATCTTTTCGCCGCGGTCACCACAAGTAAACATTCATCGACAACCAGAATTAAACTGAGAGGTTGCAAAACATACCGAGTTCCATTAATTCCACAATGCTAAAATGCACCATAGATGCAGCAACGAAAAGAAATCCCTATGTGAAAACAAGCCACAATGTAAGCGTAACAAACCCAGTGAAAAGGACGCCACAACGTAGCATAAGCGTAACAACCCCACAGTAAAAAGGAAGCCACAACGTAGCATAAGCATAACAAACCCAGTGCGAAAAGGAAGCCACAACATAGCATAAGCGTAACAAACCCACGGTGAAAAGGACCAGAAAGTAGCATAAGCATAGCAACCCCACAGTGGAAAGAAATTTAACGTAGCAGAACCGAGGACCATGAAGCGACAGCGCAATAAGTTGCAAATCTATCCCAAGAAAGCTGCTATCAAAGAAATCAGGCAAGTGGACGTTATTGCCCCCCCCACCCCGACCCCCTCCCGGAAACAACCCCCCAACACCTTTCAAAATTACACAACAGCTCGGGGCCCTTACAGGCGCCGGCACCAGAAACAAGGTTAACCGGTTGATTCGGCGCCCTTGGAAGGGTGGCCGATTATTTTTGAATGACTTTGTTGTGGTGGGAAAAACGTGGTATTTGTTGGAGTCCGTAACATGAGTTCACAAGATCCAATTTGATTTCGTGTGGCCTGCCTAGGTGGTTGCGCTGAGCGAAATGCTAATTATACCGGTTTTCTTTGAACAATAACATTAGGTTTTGAGGATTTCGACTCGTGCATTTATGCGTTTGTCAAACGGGCCTTGTTTTCCTCAAGTCCAGAAGAGCCGCGCACAACGCTGCTTTCAGGTCCTTGTTTTGTGTCTCCAAGTCCAAGTGCATACATATCTCTCACCGGGTTCACCTTCCGTTTGATGGGGAAAGTTGATGGGCCGCCACTTCTTGAGATGTCCCGGTTGAATCCAATTGCTGAGTCATGCTGAGTCCCAGCAACAATGTGCCGGTTTTTTTTTGTCCCAGAGCTTCTGTCTGAAGACATATCGTTTCATAGCACCAAGAACGTGTTGCAATCCCGTCCCGCCCCACCGTGGCCACCCCCCAACCCCACCCCATCCGTGACTTGCCGCATCTTGAGCGTAACGTACGATCCAATCTCAAGGTGCCTCCAGTGATGTAGCATGAACACTCATGAACAACGTAGGGAATGGTATCCTCGAAATTTGCAACCCTTTCAAGGGCGCCGTATCAATCGAATGCCATAAACAACTATATACATATACATATATCATATACATATACATATATATATACCATGTGGGGATGGTTTACACCACCCATAAAATTGGTGATTTTGGTGATGTTTTATGGCATTGGGTGCACATCACAACTTATACAAAATATAATGTATAATACATATATATATATATATAATGTCTAATACATAATAATATGATATAATATGTGTAATTATATATACAATATACCTTTCATCCAACTGGGTGTCACTGGTGCGGCGAGAGTCTGGCAGCCATGATTTCCACAGATTCTCATTGGCATTCACCCAGCGACAGGCCACCTGAAGTCCGCTCTCATCTCTTTAAAAAGAGAGAAACGGATCTAGACTCCTATGGGATACTAATGGGATAATACTGGGATAATAATGGATAATTAGTAACTGGATAATAATGGGATAATACCATTGTGCCATGTATCTCTAAAAATAGGTATAAAAGTACTAAAACCATGGGATAAGAATGGATAATATGCAAATTCTGTGTACTTGGAGGGTCTGGGTAGATCGTTCTGTATTTACAGAAAACAAAACATCGAGCCATCAGCAATCTGTCGCGACCATTTGCTCACAGAACTGGTGCGCAGATTGGTGGCAGGATGTGAAATCCTCCTTTCACCCCCCAAAACGATCATGGACCTCAGAGGGAAAACCGTTGTTTGAACATGCACCCCTGCTCAAATCTCAATACGAATCCGCTGGAAAATCAAGAAATGCATGAAAAAGGATCTTTCGACACCTCCTTAGCGTTAAAACATTCACTTCATATGTTTTTCTCATCCAGCATGTTTAATTTATCCGGTGTGTGTATTCAATGTGAATATTACATGGTAAAACAAAGAAATATATAAATAATTCGTAAAAGTAAATATGTATGCAAGTAAACAACTTCAATTACGCGTTTCAGACATGTTGAGACCAAAGACCTACAGTACCTTTCAGCGATTTCAGAGTCTGCGAGTGGCCGTGACCTGCTACTCTGCACTGCTCATCAGGACGGAAATCCGTGAAATATCCGTCATCATCATCACCACCAGCGTCATCCTCTATCATCACCATCATAATGCCATTGTGGCTATGGTTCAAACGTGCCCAAAAATATCAAAAAATGGAAGGTTGCCCCTTGACGCTGACAGTTGCAAAAAAACAAAAATCAGAGGTGTTCTTAAAAGGTCTCAAGTCTAAGAAACTGTCCGCTGGACAGCGCCGGTTCCTTCTTCACCTTTGATCTTCGCAATCCAGCTATGCCCTGTCAGGTCACTGGGGGTTCTACTAGTTTTATGAATGTTAAGTATTTAAAGACATTCAAAGTAAGTACAACGTCCGTTTTCGCAATTCCATCCCCATGACAGGATATCATCCAGCTATGGTAGATATCTATCTTCATTTTGATGCTGATTTGACTTGGCAGCCTGGCAGCTTGAAAACCTTTTTTGTTTTTTCGGATCAAAAACCATGACAGCCATGGGCTTTCGCAGTGTCTAATACTGTAAACAGCCATAAACTAAACTGGTTGGTGGTTTCAATCCCTCTGAAAAATATTAGTCAGTTGGGATGAATTTTCCCAATATATTAAAACCACCAACCAGTAAACTAAACCGTCCGTTTGGGACACCTCTGATGAGTTGTCTTTCGTCTCAATCTGATCCAACAGCATCTTGTTCACCATTTGCATCTCGATCCTCGCTGCTACCAAGCTCGTGACTGGGAACAGGCTGGTAGTACCAGGCATCAGCAAACGCAACAAAAAATGGAGCAACAAAAAAGGAATGCAAACAACAACACTACTCTGGTATGCTCTGGTGCATAACTATGCATAACTCACAGCTCCGCACATTGGTGCACAACAAAAATAGGGCCGCACATTTTGGGCCAGGATTTGCCAGGTTTTTCTCTGCCAAATTGCCCCATCATGTGGATGAAGTCACTGGTGAAAACTGGAACCATCTCATCCTATGGTACCCCCTCAGGCAGTGGTGAATGGTGATTGCAACTGCGATGGGCCCAGCCCAAATACTCCCCGTGTCGGTACCCTGGGGTAAACATACCAAAAGATGTGCGAAAAGCCCTGGGTTTTTCCTTATGAACATGATCCGGAAATTGTAGTTTTTCCAATTTTTTTGGTAGGTTTCCGGGAGGGTAAAAGTTCGATTGAGATAGCTGCGTCTGTCCTGAAAGCCTTCAGAAACTCTTCGACCTCTGGAGCCAAAACTGCGAGGTCCTGCAGCTGGATTCCCCCGGGGTCAACAAACAGAATGGTGATATATATATATATGTAATTATATGCGTGGATTATTAAATTCCTAAATATATTTAAAATCATTATTAATATTTATTAATATCTATTAATGGTATATTCATGGGCTATTAATGGACTATGAATGGACTATTGATTGATACCCAGCGGCAATCAAACATGGCTTTCCGGAATAGCAAACCAGCTTTTGGTTCTATGATTTTCCCAGCTATAAGCCTCCATATGCCTCCATTTGTTTTGAAGATTTACCAGCCAGCCACGTTTAACACAACGAAGGGTAGTAATCACCGAAACACAAAAAAAAAAGGTCGCCATACCTAAATCATCCCCTAGGAAGGTCCCGTGGGTCAGAAAAAAATCAACAGTCATCATGCCACAGTACCATCCCACAGTACCGACTTTTCATCTATAGTACTTACGTAAGTAACCTCAAAAAAAATCAAAGATGATCAGACAATCTCATTCCGCAGCATTGCTGACATGAATTCTATCCTTTTCTATCCTTTTCTATTTTAACTTGGGGGTTTACATGGTTTTTCTCTATTTTTTTACACATCTTGACATTGAAAACATTTGAAAACCATTTCCATGCCATTTCCCCATGGTCCCCATGGCACGCTCCTTGCTGACGTACTTGTCGATGGAAATGGAGCTGGGTGCGGTTCGTTTGTCCCCACGGCTGTGCGCCGCGCGATCGAAGGCGGGGAAGGTGATCTCCACCGGTGATCTCAGCAAAACCACCGGGGCTAAGTTCAATGTGTGGGGTATCATGCGGAATCGTTGATTGAAAACATTTGAAATAATAGTTACTTCTGGCCTACTCTCTTCCCTAAACTAGGTTAATTAACTAGTTTTCATGACTTGTTTTTGGGTTCACCGAAAAACCTCGATTTTCCAACGAGGCTTCCTGCAGAAAAGGCACAAGTGAAGGAACGTCGGATCTGGAACCCACCAGTAGAAAGTCATGTCCCCTGGGGCTGAGCGTTGACAAATCTTTCACCGTTGACCCTGTTATATTAGCTGCATCTCCATTTCGATGGTGAAATCTCCATGTTTGCTGAGAATGATCCCTTCAAAACTCTTCAATGCAGAGTTCCAACATGACCCAACACATTCCACATTCCACGAGTCTTAACACATGAAACACAAGATGCAGCCCACGAACACGAATGCTCACACTTATGATAGTGGTACGGATTCCGAAACGCGTAGATAGGGAAACATCATAGACGCGCAAGAATGTAAAGTGTGATGTGCAACGTGTAAAGTGTAAAGTGTGAAGTGCGGAGTGAAAAGTGTAAAGTGTGGAGTGTAGAGTGTGGAGTGGAGAGATGTGTAGAGTGTGGAGTGTGGAGTGTAAAGTGTGGAGTGTGGAGTGTAAAGTGTAGAGTGTACAGTCCAGAGTGTGGAGTGAGGAGCGTACAGTACAGTGTGAAGTATTGGTGTAAAGTGTGAAATATGGAGTGTGGAGTGTGGAGTGTAAAGTTAAAGTGTAGAGTGCGGGGTGTGAAGTGAAGAGTGTAAAGTGTAAAGTATTGAGTGTAAAGTGTAAGGGTGGAGTGTGGAGTGTAAAGTGTAGAGTGTGGAGTGTAAAGTGTGGAATGTAAAGTGTGGAGTGTGAAGTGTAAAGGGTGAAGTGTGGAGTGTAGAGTGCGGAGCGTGGAGTGCGCAATGGTCTGAAGTGCTGACCCTGCCACGCACAATGACGATAGAGGTCTCCAAAGTTCTGCGCCTGCCCACGAAACTGTAACTTTTTTTTTCCGCACACCCTTTTAGCTGCTCTCATCTTGCGAAAACGTCGCAAGAGTATCGCGACTGCCCCACAAAAATCACAAAACGACTTTCGACGCGATACAAAACACGTCTGAATGTCGCGAAGTGCCGCGACTGCCACGCAAAACGACATGACAACCTGCTTGGAAACCTTCGGAAAGGAGAGGAGTTTTTTGCAGCTTCCCCCGCAGACACCGCGCGGCCACAGGAAAACCAGAGACTCGAGACGAGACACATGGGAGCATCAAAACGAGCATTCCGTGCGAGACGTCCTCCAATTTTGACATTGTAGCTTCAAAATCGATGTTTTCCTACGAGTTTTCCTTAGAAACTGAAAATTTGCAACCCCAAAATCGATGTTTCGTGCGAGGCTTCCGTCAATTTTCAGCACATCTCACAAAATATCACAAAATGCCACGCCTGCCACGGAATTACCTTGTTGCCACTTGGTGCGGCCCTGACAATGCGATTCGCAAAAAACACGTAACACGACACGTCTAAAGTGCCGCGCTTGCCACGCAAAATGATGATGGACACATCCAAAGTGCTGCGCCTGCCACGAACACTGCAACTCATCTTACGAAAACATCGCAAAAGTATTGCGCCTGCCACACAAAATGGGCTTTCGACACGTCACAAAACACGTCTGAAATCGTCTGAATGTCACGAAAAAATGCCACACCTGCCACGCGAAACGAAAAGCAACACCACATGTGAAACCTCCAAAAGTGACCCCTTTTGCAGAACTTACCACAGGCGGCACGGCCATATGGCCCTGTTGCGAACATAAACGCAACGTCGAGCGAACACACACTCAACCCCCAGACCCCCAGAGTGAAACGGGAATCCTTGCTGCGCATTTGGGAAAAAACCTCAATCATATACCCAATTCTAAACAAACCAAAAAAATTCACCAAGGTTTCCCTCAATTTTTCTGTTTGTAGGAAATCTCTCTTTCTTGGTGGCATAACTTCTTGGTTGTAGCCACCCCGACCCCCCAGGGAGCCGCGCGTTGAGAGGGAAAATCAGTGAAGGCTTTCCAAGTGGCAGCGACCACGGGAGCCACCTGGCGGAAATTGTTTCCAAAGCTCTCTGAAAACATCTGAGAACTATGATGGAAAACTGATTCCTGAACAACTTCGAAAATGATTTTACACTATTCTAGGCACTTTTCAAATTATATAAAATGATCATGGTCGGGCTACCGGGTGAAAAACAAATGGGTGCACAGGCACGGACGTTTGCGCAGCCCAGCATCCAAATGATGGATGCAGAATGTGCCATAAATGTGCCAAATAAATATCGGTCCTTTCCCATATAGTGGCATGTTCTGGCCTGGCCCAACATTTATCTGTGGTTCAGTTTTGCCAAAAAGAGGCCCGCCATAACAAACACAACAGTTTTGTTGTTGATGCTTCTCACAGACCAAATCGCGATGATTCACGATCCGGGTTAGGTTTTGTCTGTGCATTCCAAGCCGATGGGTTCATAACTGGTGACGGTGTATCTTTATTCCTGTTGATGACTATCCTGATTGTTTTGGCTAGCGGCTAGCATTTTCCCCCTACCTTTCAAGTCTTGGATGGCTGCATACCTCACACTTGTCAAATTTCAGCTGTGTACGTCAAGCCCCACTGGCGCCTGCATGTTCCATGCTGTTGCCTTCTGCCTTTGATGAGCCCAGGAGTGCGCGAACTTGAAGGATGATGGACCACCATCCGTAGTTTAAGCAACTAATTATATACTGGTTCGTGGAAATCTATGCGCCCCAACAAAACGTAAAGTAGTAAAGAAATAATCTTACAATTTCTATTGATTTTTTTGGTATAGTATAGCTAGACCCTCCAAGTACCCATCTCTCTCTCTCTCTCTCCTCCATCGCCTTCTCGAAGAGTTCAGCTAAGCTAAGGGCGAGTTCCAAGTACCCATAAACATGGGTATTTGACATACTTTAACACTTCTACATACTTCTACCTATTTTCGGTACTGGATGTACTTGGAGGGTCTAGGTATCATGGAGCCTGCCCCTACAGTCCCTACAGGTGGGTGCGTTGAAATCAGGCGAGCGGCATGACATCATTTATCCAGATAAGCTACAAGAATTGACAAAGTTTCTTTTCATGCTCGGCCCTGAATTGGGAAATAGTTGGCAAATGTTGATACTAGTAATGATATATAATGATAGTTCTTGCCCTTACCCCTACCCTACTATCTCACATTCTAACCATCAATGTCATCCCAGCTGCATCGTTTCTTCCAGGTTCCAGCCGGTGCCGGCCGTCAAGAACGGCAAGCACTGTGAGGGACTGTTGCCTCAGGCCATGGATGTCCACATGGCATGACAAATCCGGGTCACCATGTACCATGATTGCCATGATGTAGTATAGAACTATTTGATGTATGGTACTATGATGTACTATGGACGTTTCAGAAATGAATTTCATCGAATCTATCCTGCAAATTTTCAAAGATCTCAAAACAAGCAGTCTGGGACTGTCGGAGTGCCTCCAGCAAGAGTCAAATAGATTATCTTGCGTAGTATTGCATAGATATATCTGGAGCGATTCAGAAGGATAGCAGCAGCCGAGACCCACATGTGAGGGCGAACGGCTCAAAGCATCGAGTCGAGTTCAGCCCGAAAAATCTCTGTCGGGAGCCATTGGGAGCCATTTGGATCATTCCAAGTAGGCTTGGATATATATAATTAATACTGCTACGTTGGAACGCACCAGCTACAAATCATTACCAAATCCATGATCCATATTTTACGGATTTGCCGAAGAATTCCTCCTCCATCCCCGGAGTTTCATTGTGCGACATTGTGCGACTGTGCCATGCGCCTGGCACAGTGAAGCAATTTTGAGATAGCATGTAGCTGAATGGTTTGAGAAACTCTTCCCCGAACTGCTGTGCGGATGGAATTGGCCATTCAATTGCGGAAAAGAAAATCCCAGGGAAGGATGGACAAAGAATGGCAAATTACCAGGATTTGAATCCCAAGATTTAGATCACACACGCACCCACACACACATATAAATAAATAAATATAAATATATATATATATTTCATATATATATATTATATCTATATCATATACAATTTATATTTACACATGATATTATAGGGGATTAGCTCGGGATTTTTCCATCGGATCAAATCCAATATGACACAAGACCAAGCCGAAGACCAAGCCACGGCAGGAAGGCGGATACCAAAAATATCCGTCCCAGCACTTTCCTCTCACCTGGGTGGAATTGACGGAAACATCATCTCGTGTCACTGTGATATTGATATGATATTTATAAATATTTATATGTACATCCAATTGCAAACCATTAAGAATTAAGTGTATCCACTGACATGCAACTTTGGTATGTGTCCCAGGCTTCTTGAAGTGATGCCGGAATGGATGTGATGCATGCCGGAATTCCGGCATGTTCTTATGTTCTGTTTACCAGTCACGCAATATGTAACATGTATGTTATAACAAAATTTCATTGGGGTCGGAGTATATACATTTTTGGGGCGATGATGAAGGAATCCCTAGAGCTTGATATTTTATCAATGCCTAACAAGCAATGCCCCCCTGAACTGCGCTGAGGTCTTCTGGTGGTTAAAAAACATGTTTCAACGTTGCGCCACGATTCCAGGACCGAGCCAGATGTGACCAAGCCATTGGAACATCCATGAGATGTATTGAAATCTTATAATGTCATATATAGTTAGGAAATGGATCTTACTGTTGGGGAGCTTGTAATATATAAAGTTCATCAAATTTTGCCTAACCAGTGGTCCAACAGGAAACTCATCGACGTTGAGATAATTTCCTGACTGACCAGAAGACGAGAACCGGAGAACACACGCAAACATATTCGCAAAAGACCCCAACCAGTTGAACTGTGTCTGAACCAGTCTGAACTGGTTTCATCAGACACGGTTTCAGACTGGTTTCGGTTTCAGACTGGTTTCAGACACAGTTTCAAACTGGTTTGAGAGGTTTCAGACACGGTTTCTTTGCCAATAAATCTGGCTGAAGCATAATAATTCCAACAAATCCGATTTGAGGCCCTTCTGGGAGAGTTTCCCTTCCAAAGCGTCAACCGTCAAATTATGCACTTGGTTCGGGCAATGTGTTGGCAACATCATTTTCCCACACGTATATTATTCATTGACAACTATTTCAACACAGATGGTGAAATGTCGAAGATCACCCTGAGCCATGCGAGAAATCATGAGCGCAACCCACAAGAGTTGCCCAAGACATTTCTGTTCGTATCCTGCACAAGTGTAAGTGATCCCACCCACATATACTGCAATCCCAGAACTGGTACATTCCGGAAAGTTAACATAGCTATGGAAAATCAATGAAAATCACCGTGTTCATTCATATTCAACTGCTAAATCATTGAAAATCATGTCTAAATGGGCCATTTCCAATGGCTATTGTAAAATACCCGGAGAGTCATGCGCCAACATGCGCCAACCACTGCAACCATGGAATGATGCGCCCGCCTGTCCGTCCACTCGTTCAATGCCAGCAGAATCACCCGTGAGCTCTGCGTAAAACTCCATGGCCTGCGCTGCCGCCGCACCGGGGAGCTATACCCCATGTTTGAACCGACCCATCTGCAGGTGTTTTGAGACCTTTGCATTTTGCACAGAATATAGATAGATATATATATATAAATATGTAAACAAATAAACAAACAAATAAATAAAAAAATACATGCATGAATAAAATAAATAAATAAATATAAATAATATATATTAATATATAATATGTACGCATGATATTACGTAATGTATGTAGAAATATATGTAGAGCCCGATGAACATACAAAATCATACAAAGACACAGACACACATACCTATACCAGCTTTCGCTCGAATTTTCCTGCTGAGTTTCGCACACAGCACCCAGACTATCAGGCTGCAAAAAAGCACACATACCTATATAGATAATGTATATAATATAATGTACAATAATATCATGTGATATGATATTATACACGCTTGTAGTGTTACCACTGAGCGGCCCCCAGTCTTATGCGAACGTCCTGATCCAATCGCAGATCTTTTGCAGTTCTTTATGCGTAGCCGGAGTTTTTCGCGCTGGCCAGTTAAACTGATGCAGGGATGAAAATGAAAGAAATCTGTCCCTGTCTCTTTGCAGTTTCGGATGCTCTGCTGGATTTCCTCATCAGGATGCCCAAGCCCCAGCAGAGTGGGCACCGACTGCTTCTCTTGTCTCTCTTTGTTTTTTGTGCGAAATGGATGACATGAAACCAAAGGTGAAAGAGGGAACAAGGAAGGTAAGAACAGGACATGCATTCCCTTGGCTAACAGGGTTCCGCACACACACACATATATATATATACTTTGCACTTGGGCCCATAGATCTACCACGTTACACCTTCACCCTTTGGGTACGGCAAGTCATTGAACCGGCCCAACCCAGTCTTCCTGGCTGGCCTCTGAGACCACAAGGCGAGTCTCTGTGCAGGGCTTCAGATGGGTGAGGTTTAGAGACGACGGGGGGTCAAAGTACGCTGCAGCGTTGTGCCAGGAGACGTTGTAACCTTGGATGAAGCTGAATTCTTGTTAGGTGAACCAAGGACAAGATACTGATTTGGATGAAGGGATATGAAGCGGGGTTCGGTTCAACTTGCGATACTTGGGGCTGTAAACATTGCTGACAAAAAGCTGACAAGGGAAGAAAACAGCAGGGTTGGAGGATGGTCCTGTCGGGAAAATACGAATGAATTTGAACACGTCAAACATCCATCTGAATACTTCTTGGCTGGTGACCAGAAAAACCCTGGTGTCATTCACATCATTGAACCCCAAAAAAGTCAGCTGTGGTGCTTGGCCAAGACTCCGGTCAGTTTCTTAGCAAGTCATTTTCGTCTAGCACTGAGTCGCGTGTGTTGCATGGGGTACCTTACCAATCGAACATTGCATATTCTTGGATTTCCTGCCTGAAAATGTAACCTGACCTTAATATGTTCTTCACATGGTGTACACAAACATATACATACATATATATATATATACACGCAGTGTTTCACTCTTCAACGTATAAATATGCCTTGCTTCGTTGGCAGAATTTGTGGAAGCCAACGCTTACCCTCTGGTATATACTCAAAAGTGGCACTGGAAAATCACCTCCAAACATAGTTTTCTCACTCAAACCTCCATGATCCTCCATGTATAATTAGAGGATTCTCCATTGCCACGTTTGATTGCCGGTATCAAAAACAGCCCAAAGACAACTATCACCAAGCATCTTTCGGCCAAGCGACCCCTGTAGAACTCCAGATTCAACCCTTCTGCCTCGAGAAACTGGAGGGGTGGATGTCAACTTGGGTGGTTCGAACCAGGGGTCCCCCAACCAGTATTAAATCATAGTTGATTGGGGTCAATTGGGATCATTGTTTTCTTGGGCTGGAGGGAACACGTCACTAGGTGATTCAAGCGAAAATAGATGTGGTTCTGAACCCCAAACATAAGGTTCAATTCTGCGAACATGTAACAAATTTTCAAACAACCGGTCTTCTGGGATATTCTTAGATTCTTGGCGTGAGTCATTGTTCTCAGAAAGAACATCCAAACACTGCATCCAAGAAACCACCTTTTATATGAATGGGTGTTTCCTACTGTATTGTATCATGCTAATTAGTTATTGTATTCTATCTTTACATGATGTTGAACAAAATTCCATTATTTGACAGTGTTCCATGTTCAATGTTCTATGATGCTAGACTAAATCAACACCCCACTAAGTTGATTTATGCCGTGTTGGCGCCTGTCAACTTGAATTCAACATGTGGTGATGCCATGTATGCATACAGATATGAATAAACACACATATTGATATATACTCATCATCGATGGCTATTTCAGGCATGAACATTAATATACATCTGCAGTTATACCTGCATAATACTTGGAAGTGCAGTTCCAGTTATAGGTGGATAGATGTCACCATACAAAACGAGAGGTTATATCATGTTCCCAACTTATGGGTGTTAACTGACCCCTTCTACTGATGCAACCCGTACCTGTTTAGTGGGACAATTTAGTCTATAAATATATATTTATGTGTGTACTATGCATACATCAATATCCACATGCACATACATAATACATATAAATGTTTATCAATACATATTTTATACGCACATAAATACAAATGTAAAAGTGCATATCTATGCACAAACACACACACATATGTATATATTTTTTATGTGATGTATATATATATATACATATATAATCATATATGTATAATCATATATGTATATAACCATAAATATAAGAATAATAATAAAATGAAAATAATAATACTAAATAATAATAATAAATAATAATAATAATAACAATAAATAATAATAATAATAAATAATAATAATAATAATAAATAATAATAATAATAATAAATAATAATAATAATAAATAATAATAATAATAATAAAATAATAATAATAAATAATAATAATAATACTAATATATATTGTATATATATATATATGAACCTGCATGAACAAAAAATCACAAGCCTTGCTGGAAACAGGCGTTGACGCCTGTTACTCGATCCATCGATATCCATCGCGCTGGCGCCTCCCAGGCACGTTTCTGCACCTCTGAACTCAAGTACCTGGCACAACCCGCGGTGGGCTTCCAGTTCACTCAGTTGCTTCCTGGCATATAATGAGGTGAGCCCCCCAGTATTCCAGCATTCCCCAGTGATGTTTAGTTGTTTTAATTGAAGATAATGAAGATATATCCAACTAAGGAATATAAAGGGCCACCTTAAAGGAGTCGCTAGATACGCCTGGGGCACCCCAGCTGGAATGGGCACAAGATACTGTGCTAAAACCATGTGAAACCAACCCATTGCTAGACTCCAAGAAACATGCCTCGCAATCATAATCAAGATCATTGGAATTCGTTAAGATGTCCAAACTGGAAACCCAAAACATCAATCGAAAATAATTAATCACATGGCCTAAGGCAGCTGAACTAGTGGCTGGTGATTGGCTGATTGGCGGAAGGAGCATCACAACACAGCCTATATTAATCTTGGCAAAAGAGAGATTCTCTTGACATTGATTCCACAACTCTTGGCAAAAAAATGAAGCGGCATTCCAACAAACAGCGAGTAAAACAGTCTAATATCGCCAGAGAACTGGGGTAATGTGGTAAACCCAACAAGAAACAATCCCCCAAATCACAATTTTTATGTGTCTATAAACCACCCCCTCCCCAAATGGTAGTTGTTTATGGCATTGGGTTGCCCACATTATTGTCAATCCTTCGGTTTCGCCGAGAGGTTTCACATAAGTTCCATCGCCCGAGTTGCATGGAGGTCTTTCCGAAATAACCTGGAGCCAATGCTCAGTGGATCACCGACTCAGTTCCCACAGCACATGCAATATCATGCAATTAGGCAATGTTTGTCAATGATGGGCCTACAATGGCCCACGACGCTCACAGTAGATGTGGTGTTTCATATTTATACATCAAATGCTGTTTCAGCCTGGCAGTAAATTGCAGTAATTATATTGCAATCAGCATGGGATAGAAGTAGACATGAAATAACTGTGGTTTCTGTTTCACCTCTCGTATGGGGGAGTCAAAACAACATGTAGAAATCCAGAATATATATTGGCTGTACCTGCATGTTGATGATATTCAAATCATACACTACGTAAATCCGTCCATCTGTCGCAATGGAAACAGTTAAAACATGGTATGGCAAAACAGAGATTGTAATGTTGAACACGTCTCAGTAAAAGATCCTACCATTCCGACATCATTTTCCCTTGCGGAACACATCCACATCCCGGACTGAAGATGTAACACCTATCCCCAGCCCAAGGAACCCATATTTCCCAGATTCTTCGGGGCGGTGTCAGGGTAGTCCTTAGTCTCCAGAAGCCACAGGGCGATTCGGAGGGGCCCAGATGTCATGTCTTAACACTCCAGGTATGGAAAATGCTTCCCAACATTTACCCAAAAAAAAGTAGGTGAATGATGGTAAATGTAGCCACATACATGGAGCATCTGGGTTCCAAAATCCTGAACGGACCCACGGATAGCAATTTACAATTGGCCCCGTGCTACTCAGTTGCAACAGTGAAGGTATCTCTCTGGCTCGCTAGCAAGTCACCAGTGGGAATTATGCGCGCGCATATATATATATACATATATATATATATTGGATAGATGGATAGATGGATGGATGGATAGATGGATAGATGGATAGATGGATAGATAAATAGATACCCTCTCTCTCTCTCTCTCTTCCCCATACACATATCATTATATATATGTGGAGATACAAGTAAAGGAGGTATATATCTACAAAGAAATGCTCATGACTGATATGTGTATGCAGAGTGGTATATACATTACATGACATGACATGACATGAGATTACATTACATTACATTACGTTACGTTACATTACGTTACATTACATTTCATTATATACATTTCATCACAATACCTTACCATCACACACAGACACACACATATATATATATTATATGTATATATATACACACATATATATATGAACAAACGTGTGCATATGTGCAAATAAGTATCAATCGTCTATTCATCCACCCATGAAGCCATCTACCTACAGGGTTTTTACGCCCAAATATTCTGCAGATTAAGACCGAAAGATATTTCAGATTCGGTCCATGGGTCCCTTGATGAAGGTGGACCAATATTCAAGCCCTGACGGAGCCCATTTTTTCTTTCTGGCCATGAATATGGGTACATTACATAACTATAAAATACTATTACTATTACTATAAAATGATGCTATGACAAAAACACAAGAACATCCATTCTCTACACATCTCTACACCTTTTTTGGTGAGTGTTTTACCCAACTCAGTCCAGCAGCTTGTTGGATCTTCAGCCATGTTGGCATATAAGACTCCGTCCTCAGATGAAAGGCACGAGACTCACTTGGAACCGAACCACCCTGGCCCTGGAAAATCCTAAAACGAGATTGCGAATCAAAAAAAGTGATAGGACAGAAGGAACGGAAAAAAAAACAACACTATTTCAAACATCTGATATCCCAAATGCCTTCAATATTTCAAATATCTCAATTTAAAATATTACATGTCAATGCCAATGCTTATATATAGGGCTTGTCCACAATCCCAATGTGTAAAAAATATCAAGCAGCAGCATTGGCATTGAGACGGAACATTCCCAATTTCCGCTCTTGCAGAACATTTCAACCCCCACAAAGAGATTGCAAGTCAATATTCAAATTCAGCCAGCCCATTTATTTACAGTCAATGCATCATTTTGAAAAGCCACGTGGGTCACTTGAGAACCACTCCTTTTGGAAAGTGACTGAGAATCAAACAAACTATTGACCCCCTAAGTTTCAATATGTATTTCGGCGTCCATTGCCTCGACATTAAAATTCACAAGGTGAACGGTACAAATCTCACACAATGAAAACCATCACAAGACCTGCGCAATTTCGATGACTATGACTCCCAAACACCATGGCAATGAAATCTGACATCAAGATGGCATTTACACAAAATTATGGACGTGTATGGATTTGTGAGACGAGCATCTGACACGTTCACCAGGAAACAATGGTCGCTGTGCAAACGCGATTTTTGGATAGTTGCGGAAGACTACGGTAAATTATACCATAGGTAATATATATATATATTATGTACTGCAATTAGATATACAACTCTTAACTTCAGCGGGGTAACAAATAAAAAACTTAGTTATATCATTTAGGCTCACAATTCACCTCACCAACCTCGAGGTAGGCTATGCTACTGGCAACGGCTCCAAGCTTCCAGCCCTCCACCACAATGTGGTTGCGTGTCGTAGTTGGCCCCTCACCACATCCACGATCACTGAAACTGGTTGGTGTTTCACACCCGACCTTGGCGATGGCAAATGGCTGCGGATGAGGGTTTTTCAGACTTGAAGTCATCGCCTTTCTTCGATTCATGCGCTGGGAAAAGATCACAGTACCATCGAAATAACATGTTTTGTAATAGTCAACATGTGCCACTCATATAGCAGCGGGGGGAACAAACAACTTACCCTCCGGTACTCAAAATTACTCAAATCGTGGCAATCGAAAATCCTCGACTCTATAAATAGAGATTCTTAATAATTCCCCACCTGCCAGGTGAGGGTTGTTAGATTTTATGTCAGTTGCCTGCTCCTCCTCTCCTCTCATCTCCTCTCCTCCTCCTCCTCCTCTCCTCCTCCTCCTGCTCAACCGCGACCCTCGACCACAGTGGTCTCTGTCGGACCTCAACCACGACCATCCTTCTCAGTGTTCCCTGCCGGACCTCAACCACGACCATCACCGCCAGTGTTCCCTGCCGGACCTCAACCACGACCATCACCGCCAGTGTTCCCTGCCACACCTCAACCACGACCATCCACGCCCAGTGTTCCCTGCCGGACCTCAACCACGACCATCCACGCCCCAGTGTTCCCTGGGGGACCTCAACCACGACCATCCCCGCCCAGTGTTCCCTGCCGGACCTCAACCGCGAGTATCCACGCCCAGTGTTCCCTGCCAGACCTCATGTAGGAAGATATGGGACAAAGAATGTGCAGAAGAAAGTTGCAAAGATAGTATGCCAGAAGATTTGCCGGATAGAATGCCAGAAGATATGCCAGATAGAATGCCAAATAGAATGTCAGAAGATATGTCAGACAGAATGCCAGAAGATTTGCCAGATAATATGCCAGAAGATATGCCAGATAGAATGCCAGAAAATATGCCAGGAGATATGCCAGATAGATATGCCAGAAGATATACCAGAAGATATGCCAGATAGAATGCCAGAAGATATGCCAGATAGAATGCCAAAAGATATGTCAGAATATATGCCAGATAGAATGCCAGAAAATATGCCAGGAGATATGCCAGATAGATATGCCAGAAGATATACCAGAAGATATGCCAGATAGAATGCCAGAAGATTTGCCAGATAGAATGCCAGAAGATATGCCAGAACATATGCCAGATAGAATGCCAAATAGAATGTCAGAAGATATGTCAGATAGAATGCCAGAAGATTTGCCAGTAAGAAAATGTATAAATTTGTAAATGTCATGGTGGGGATCACACGAAGTAAAGTAATTCTTTAAAGTTATTTTTAATCAGCTGCAAATGGGGGATGTCCGGGGTGTCCAATTGTTAGATTACCCGGACAAGGGTACCCCAACCATCCCCAACCACTCTCGCCAAATCGCCAGTGCAAAAAAACCATCAACGGTTCCTGGTCCGGGACCAGTTCGAACAGCATGAAAGCCCAGGATCTCCTGATGAAACCATGGCCCTGCAAGGAATCCAAACTCACAAGATCCAACCCGGCTTAACCAATATCAACCAATATCAACCACGAAGTCGGATATTCTAAGGGATATTCTGACATTATTCATGGACATTCCACTTTAAGAGACTGTTTTGACCGGGATATTCATGGATATTCGACCAGGATATTCAGAGATATTCCAAGGGATATTCCACTTTAAGGAACTGAAGACTGACCACGCAGTTTCTTCGCAAACACCTGCGAAGAAATCCTTTCTGAACCCAAAGTCACTCGGAAAACCCCAAGGGCTCCATGATTGAACTTTCAGTCCTGAATGATGATCTGAACGACGTCGGAGGTTAAGTGACCCGCCGCCCAATCATTTGCCCAAATGCCCAAGGGGTACTTTTCAGTAGTCCTGGCGCCCATTGAGAGTAATGCCAACACTGGATTAATAAACCTCCCCCCCCAGAAGGTCAGAACTCTACCTTGTAGGTCCCCCCCTTAAGCACCCCTGAATAAACGGCCTCTGAACCATAAAATTTTGGATATGGCTTACGTCAATTGGCTGAAAGCTATGGGGGACATTGGGAATGAATAGGCAAATCCAAAGAAAAAACATTAGGGACATGGTGGTTGATTAATCAGGGGCAAACCCTGATTGTTATTAATGGGGGACATGGGCTCATGGGGGGTACCCTTTGGGAGCTATCCGAACTGATGATTTTTAAAAAGAGTTTAATTAGAAATCGATCATTTGGGGAATAGTTGTTTTTTGAAATGTTCAATGATCAACTAAAACCTGAAGTATAACGATGATGATAAAATGTAAAAAACAATTGGAAATAAATAGAATTGGAAATAAAAATTGTTGGATAAAAAAAATGGATTTCAGCACTGGTGGTTTATTAATCGGGGGTAGGCCAAAGTGTTTATTAATCTGGGGGGACCACCTGTTTTTAAATTACCCCAAAAAATTTGGGCAGTGGTGGTTGATTAATCTGGAGGGGTTGATTAATCCTGACTTGACATTAGCTTGGCCCTAGTGATGTGGCGCCCATGGCCCTAGCCCTGGGGAACATCTACGAATAACTGCGGCAAGTTAAGCGGTGCCATGAATTCAGGATACCACGCTTCACACCAGTTTTGCAGGTTGGGCCCGCGGGCATACAAAAAATAGATATATGATATATAATGAAATGTAAATGCAACTATACATAAATAAATAAGCATATATATATATTTACATATTATATTATATACTTATATATACATATATATGTACATATATAATATATTATATTATATTAACGCAGAAATTAAATAAATTGCATACATGTGCGCGCCTAGAGCATGTGTTAAACTGTGAAGCCGTCAGGCCAGAACTTCTTTTGGAAGCAAACTTCTCTGGTCACAAGACCCATTGTTCAAAATTATCATCAATCAGCTTAATGTTTAATACTGGTTAATAGTGGTTAATAGTGGTTAATGTTCAGAACATTTCAAACCCAATCAGCTGGATGTGACACGAACTTACAGCGTACGTGTCATTACTGTATGATTCTGATCATGATCATGAACATGCCAATTCCGCATCCATGAACCATTACCAACTAAATTGCGGGAAGTGTGGAAAATTGACTTACGGTACAGAATGGGGCCTTCCAAACAACCCAGGATTGAATTAAGAATATTAAGACCTTATAGCATTTTTTTCAAACAGATCCAAATAATAGCCCAAATATAATCGTGGATACCTGGAAACGGCCGTTTCTTAAAAGGCTTAAATGGCGGGAGCTTATGGGGTACCAATGACCCCATAAGCCATATGATGCCATATGTCATATGTCCTTTCTGGTTCTCTTTCCATCGCCTTCTTTAATGTGATTTATCGATTTAACATGATTTAACCATCCATTTTGAGGGGAATTGGGGAATTGAGGGTATATGCCTCTGAGCCCTTGCCATGTTGCTAGATTCATTTTGAGATCGTGAGTTATGCTTCTACTAATCTCAATCATCATTTCTGGTCGGGTCGTTCCCCCCCCCTTGCTGCAGCCCAGGTTCCCCACATGTTTCCGCAACTCTTCTGGGATCGCCTGTGACAAGCATGTGGCTCCAGCTGACATCGTCAGAAAGGGCCCAAGATGCCCAAGCCACAAGAAAAGATAACCCTTCGAAGGGAGCATGGCCCTCATGGCGCAAACCAAGGTCTGCAACACCCCCTAACTACGGACTTCTATGAGCAAATTGAGCTGCGGATAGCTGGCTGTGGATAACTGCACCCTGGTGAACACACGAACATCTTGTGAACTGTTCATCCCGAAAAAACTTCCCCAAATATGGTCTGTATGAGTGGTAGTTTGACCATCTGACCCATCACCGATCACCAGATAACAACTGACCGTAACTAACCAAGCAAGTGCGAGTCCTTCAAGCTTATCCAATCTTCAAGATCCCTGCCAATGGAAGACTTGGGGCATGGACTTGCAGCATCAGGCCATTCGTAGATATTTGCAGATATCAAGAGACATTCTGATTATAGAATCTGATTTTTCAATATTTTTCAGACATTATAGAATCTGATTTTCTAGATATTCAGATATCAAGAGTATTCAAGAGTCAACCATGGATGTTTCAGATTCTGGAGGTTTATGAATCTTTCACAAGACCAGTCACTGGGTCATCTTTCATCCCAGGGACCTACTTGGGCTACTTGGGGATGCTGGTGACAGAGATCCCCAAAAAAAGCCATAAATGCCATGTGGCTAAAAACATGTCATTTTTACCACCCATAAAAATGGGAATGGTAAGTTACATACCACCTATAAAAATGCCAGTCTGACTGGGGGATGGTAAACATGAAATTGTTTTACCCGCATTAAATATCATAAATTTGTGTAAAAACGGTAGGCGCTCATTGGCTTGGATATATCCAAGTCACAGGTCTCTCTCACGTTGTTTTTGGAGTTCCAAGGCCTTTTCCGTTTCATCACTGCCGGCCATTTCCAAGGCCTGAAAAAGGTGGCGCAGGCAGAACTTGTGGAGAATGACATGGACATCATATCTCTCCTACCTTGTCGCCCCCTCCCCACCCCTTTGAAATAATAAACCATAATAAACCATCCTTATTTCAAACGGGTTTGACGTAAGTTGGGTTTCACAACTTTAGGTGGGACTGGACATAATTTACCTTCCCACCCCCTCAAACTGTCTTTCCCTTTAATGGCACCTCCATCCCCCACCTCCCAACTCTCAGGGATGCCTTAAGAGTATGCCCTGCCAATATTAAAGAATTGTTCTGGCATAGCGTGAGTTGAAATGTTAAACATATTCCCAGAACCCAATGAGATATACTATGGGATTTTGGAATAATATAATGTCTAACAAAAGGATCCACCTATCAAAAAATCTAGCGACAACAGGAGATGCGTAGCATTGCGTAGCCTACCGAAAAAGAATTGAAAAACATCACGATTTATATCATCAGGAAATCCTGCACAATGTTGGTTTTTGCACACGTGTTTGAATTGGTTTTATGTTGCTTTATGGTGTTTTATGTTGTTTCTTAGGATCGACGCGTTGGGAATCCTAAGCACGAATAAATTCAAATATCACGTTTCATGTCTGCTCTCTGCTAGTTATGTCAGAACCTCCCCTCACTTAAAGTTGCACCAAGAACGCATCACAACTTGCAACCAAAAAACGCTCTTTAAGAAATTATTCAAGGGATATTCGAGATGCCCCACACTCCTCAAAAACCAAAGTGGGCAGCTGCCAGAACCACCCAACTCGCCCAGAAGCTGGAAAGAAACCTATAAAATCCAAGCACTTGCCCTTTCCCACTCGTTCCCACCAGGGCCATCATTCCTCAAAAAAGCAAAGTGGGCAGCCACAACCGCCCAACTAGCCCAGACACAAAACCATCAAGATCCCATGAAAAATCCAGCACTTGCTGATCCCCACAAGCCATTGACAGTTCTTTGGAGGGAAATATGTAGAAAAGAGCCAGTGATGAAGATGATGGTTGAACACCATTTTGCAGGAAGTCCAAAGGAGATAGAAGGTATAATATATATATATATATTATGTAAGGTTGTTGTTGTTTTTTTCACTTTTTGTTCGGCCATTTGAAGTTTTAATATGAACACATTCCAAAACCTAATAATTTAAACATACTTAAAACCAGGATTTTGAGCCTTGAAAGTCTCTTTCGCGAGCTTTCGCGGGAGAAAATCTTCGCAAGAGCTTTCGCGAATCTTTCGCGAACGTGGTTTTAGCTTTCGCGGAGCCATCTTACTTTAACAGCCCTTTAAATCTCCACTTGGAGGTTTTGGCGGCTGCTCTGTTCCAGGGTATGTTGAGGGGTTAGATCATGATTCGTGTATTCCAACATGCGCAGAACCTGGTTGATACCCGAATAATCCTGTAAAGGATGTAATAACCAGACAAAAAGATATCGAACAAAAATCTTCCAACACGCTGAATCTTATTTTACCGGGGTCTGACCCCACTGAAATTATGTCCCAATGAAAATTAGTTTGGCGCAGGCTTGACATTATCTCAATCCTCTTGGAAATAGCAACCATCCAAAATTATTTTGGGAAAATTAGCTTTAGTATGTAACCGACCCCAAAGAATAATTTACAGAGGGCAGCAGTGATGACATCACGCTTTTCTGCGGAAATTCGAGATAGATCTGCGTAAATAAAAGGTTTTTGGACAAGACCACTTGAACCAGTACAGTATTTCAATGTTGCCAGAAACAAAAAGGAATCTCAAATTTCCGACAAAATGGCGTCCAGCGGACTTATACCTAGGAACTCCAACAGGACATAATTTCAGCCTGACGGGGAAGAAACATGAAAAACCGACTTTAAGGGTCTCAGACTGAAATTCGGTCTGATGGTGATCTCAAGCTAAGTCAGGCTAAAAAAAAAACAGGACAGCACTGAGGAACTACGCCATCTGGATGATTACCGCATCCTTTTCTCGGTAGAAGCTAGGATCAGCATGGATCAGCTAGGATCAAATAACTAGCTCAATAATTCAAAATCCACAAGGTCACCACACCCTGTGGCAAGTTTGAAGTGTGTTGGCGGTAAAAGACATATCTTGCCGGCTTTTCACAGGTTCTTGAAGCATCTTGTTTCCACTATACTGGTTTTGGCACCCTGAGATTTCAAACTTGGTTTGGAATTGCAAATCTGAATTTGTTAAAAAACATGGGCTTAACTTGGTCAATACCAAAAAAAAACATGAACAACTCGGGAAAAATCGCACTAATCGGCAAAACATGCCGAAACTCAAATTTCTCATATTTTTCGTGATTGTTTTGAGGTCCAAATCTTGAATTTCTATATTTGTGGTTGAATTCAAACCATGATTGAATTACCTATATCCTCTTGTCCCATAATCATCTTTGAATGCAAAGTTATAGTTTGAGGATGGGACCCAGTCAGATTTACCAATCATCAGCTAACCGGACTGCTGCTGTGTGCTTCTGACATTGCATGCCATTATGGGACAGTTTCTTCTGGGATTCTGAATTGTGCACCCCAGTATCCATGCCATTCAACATGTGGAATTAATCTCAATACCATTGAATTGAACAAGCACTTTTTGCACAAAGTGCCTCGGGCTATTTTTCTAAGCTCGGGCCGAAGATATTGGTTCAGGCTAAGGCTAAATGTTCAGCCTGAATGCATTCGGACCATTATTATGGCCTGAGGATTTCGTAGGTATATCAATAAATACAATGGCAAAACCTTTTGTCATGACCCTTTTTGATTCAAAATCTAATGTCCCGGCAATGTCTATATATTATATAGTGTGTAGTCATGTGTCACTGGCCACTTTAGTGCTAGCCATTGTTGGAATCATCCTCCTTATTGATCTTATTGAGATCATTTGAGATCACTGGTGTCTGGGCCCACCTGAAAAAAACTCAGGGGACCACCAAATCGCATTGATGGATTCCTTGTTACCAAACACATCCGCTGTGATCCAGACTGTGATCCCAACCTGTTGCACGATCACCGCTGTCACAAGGTTCAAGAGCACGAACGCCGACCTGAACCACCGCTTCCAATGAGAGTTGCTTTCTGCATTCCCCTATCATTTCCCAAAAATCATTGGTGGAAGCCCCAGTTCGCTCAATGGGGTCCACGGATGTCCACGGATGTCCACGGATGTCCACGGATGTCTCCGTTCGACCAAGAGGCACAGCAGTGAAAAGCCAGAGAAAAACCCAAATCCATGGCAATCTCCTGGGCCCGATAGAGGACTAAAGTGACAATGTTGAATGGCAGAAGAAACAAATTCAACAAATTCCACACAGCCGCGTTTTCTGTGGGTTCTTCCACATAATGCCATACCGTGTTGTTCCACGACAACGTTATACAGTTATACTGTTGTTTTTTTTTTTCATTTTTTTGTCAAACAGGTTGATTGTTACGGCGTGAAACCTGAGCACCATCTGAACAAACAGCAGCTAATCTCTCACACTTAAGATGAGATAAGTCCACCATTGAAAAAGTGTCTGTCTGTTGACAAATTCTGAAGCAACTTGGAGCAATGCCTTGCAAATATGTTCAGTGAGAAGGTAACTTTAAAGGGTGGCGCCCGGAGCCGGCTCAGAGTTTACAAGAAATCTACCCTCTGGTCATAGGCTATAGGAATCTGGTTGAGAATTCAGTTTACTTGTTCTGCTATCTACCACTTCACTTATATCATAGCATAATCTATTACAGTATATGTAATGATAATATAAATGATGATTAATGATATATAGCATGTATCACTTGCTGTATAGCAATAAGTTCAATATTGTCAGCTTGATTTCCACGTCAAAGCTGCCATCCATTTCGGGAATCCATCACTCAGCAACTTCAAACACGGCAAATAGTCATAGTAGTGATTAAACTAAGGTCAACTCCGGATGACATCCCCAGTTTACCAATTCTGGGTCCCAAACTTGGTCAAGTGATATTGTAAATCAACTTCATTCCAAACTTGACACTGGAATCTCCCTGTAAAAGAAAAACAAATAAACAACACAACCGCGGTTCATTCGTCCCCAGGCTTGACATTATGATTAGGTCAGGTCGGTATCTAGGTCAAGGTTGTCACCTGACCTTTCTCTAAATACAGACCTTTCCTGTAAATTCATGTAAATTCTCCCTGCATCCTTCAATCAATTCAGTTGTATTTCGAACTCAAAAGGTCCTGCACAAATAGGCTTTTTCCAATTTCTTCGAGGTCTGACTGAAAATACAGATCCAAAGCCACGTTGCTTACTGCCAGTGTCCAAAACACGCAGACCGATGTTCAAACACACAGAACTTGCCAGTGTCCGTGCCAACCTAACAGGCACCGCAAAAAACTGCACTATCCAATCCTTCGCGATTTCAGGTGATGGTTCAAGGCAAAATATCCCCTTGCCAAAATTCACCCAGGTCAGAAACAATATACGCCTCCAGTGGGTCCAGTCATCAATCATGGCCTGCTGATGTTTGCTGGATAATCATCCATTTATTTCGATGACGTTACCATTAAGACCTCCATTTTCCCGGCGAGCTGTAGGGGTACCAAGCCAAGCATCTTGGTCAAGGAATCCATGATTGGTTGGGCGTCATCAAAGTGCATGAACCTTTCCAAGATGTTCCAAGGGTTTTTTTTCATGTGATGGACTCAGGACGATCTCCAAGAATTTAGTCCTTGCCATGGTGAACTAAGCCCCTGACCATCCCTGACCTCTGAGGGATTCCTACTGTCATACTCATAGTAGAACCATTGGATGCTGGAGCTTGGTAACTGGAACTTGGTAAGTGGCTTTGTAGTATCTTGTTGGCCCCAGGTTTTACATCACAGCTTTCGACCAAATGGGAGAATGAACAAACTACATTTTGATTCGTAAGTTTGGACTGAAAGAGTACCCATCAGGTATAATATATTCCAAGTGTATCCGAAGCTTGTGCCGACACCTCCGCGAGTAAACCTGCTGAGCATTTTCTTACAGAATAACGCGCTGGTTGGGATGTCGAACTGATGTTGTTGGTTGATGTTGAGAGGGCTTCCCATGGAAACATATCAAAACAATCCTCAACCAGTGAGAGTATAGTAATCCAGTATTATCCAGAACCACCAGCGGCTGATGTTCTGGGGCGGACAGCCCGAAAAATATCGAAAATGTTCTGGAGCCAATTTAGCAAATATTAGCAAATGATTCATGAATATCATCCTGAATATCTAAACATCACTATCATGATACATGCTGGTGCTGGCGATATTCCCTTACATAGTCCTAAAAAACATAGGCCTTTTTGTGTGGCAATCGGTACCTCCATTTTACCATTCGTTCCCGGCGATGATGCCAGGCCGTGCCTGATCAGCGTGAGCATGGTGGGAAAAATGCCTGGCGGTTGGCCCTCGAAGGCTCAAAGCATCCCACCATGTTGCCATGAATCACAGCTGATCACATCTTATCGCATCTTATTACCTGTCTTTCTTACAGTTAAACGTCTAGTTGTTGACGGTTTTCACCCCAAGAATCTCTTAAGCGTCTCTCAGGGGTCCATCTAGAAAATCACCTTCCCCAAATACGGAGTGCAACATACATTTCAAACAATCTACCTGCCACCTATGATTCTCCATCGCCATCCATGATTCAACCGAGTAATTTTCGGGAGTCACACCATTGAGGGTGCATGCACCTAGCATCCTTGACATGTCTGGGTTGCAAATGATTTCATTGGCATGTCTTCTCACAGAACATGTATAATTCCCAAGACCTCGCTGGCAAAAGGGACCTTTCAATCAACTCCTGTTGACACCCGCTAGTTCCCGATAGTTCCCGTGAATGCGAAAATTTCGAAGTGGAGTACAATTTACTTTTAGCTGATGACAACTTCTTGGAGTTAGGTAACAATGGTAACCTCATGGCAAGCTCATCAGTCAACCCCGCTCTTCCACCTTGGAAGAGCGCCTGTGCTTCCAGGACATCTTCGCTTGCACCTGGCGGTGACACGACTCTGGATGCGGGGAATCTGACCAGCGATTTATCGATTTCGCCTGTGAAGTCTTGATGACCAATCAGGTCAATGGCGATAATGGCCCCAACGTAGAGGGTAAAGGCCTCCACGAACCCGGTGAAGGGCTGTGGCTACCTCTGGGCAACTTCCATGATTATGATAGTGATTGATCATGATCTATCTACAAGTTTGATATCAGTTCATGATTTTTTTTTTGGGGGGGGAAGGTGGCCAAGTTCCAGACATAGTCATGGTGGATAGACATCCGTTTTCCAGGCAACACAGGGCCTAATCGGGGACAAATCAGGGCTTGGACCGGGGTTTCTGTGTTTGAGGTGTTTTGAACCGTCTGGATAGGTCACATCTCTAAAGACTAGGTTCCCCAAAAAATCTATTGCAATGCCTCCAATTTTCAATTATTTCCAGACATATGGGGCCATATGGGTTTGTCTGAAAGTAGGGTGTCCCTGAATCCATGGGTTAATCACAACTTTCCCTATAAAAATGATGATTTTTTGGATGGTATACGGTATACCGCATACCCAATTAACTTGTGGCAACCTGGCATTTCTCACCCATCATTTGGAATCCCGACGATCAGCCCCAGGGCAGATAACAAGGTGCCTCCGCTACCTGAGCTCGAAACTTGGGCAATGCGCTTCGAAGTGTGGAACGTGGATTTCCCAACAACATTGAAAAACAAAATTTGGTTGGTAGTTTGAATTCAACCCACAAACATTAGTCATTAGTCATCTCAACCAATCATCCCAAGTATGATTGAAACAACATAAATATGTGAGCCCACCAGCCAGAAATTATTTTTCAACCATGTTACACACACACACACAGATATATATATATATATACACGTCATTATACATCTTTTGCTAAGGAATGTGGAACCCTGTTTTTCTATTTTGGTTTGTTGACTTTTTTTTTGGCAGGCCAATTCTGCGAAACTCCTTATTCCTCCTCAGTGTTTGTGACAATGCTCCATAGCCATCGGGCCATCCTCTTGGAAAGAGCGTCCTTCTGCGGGGTTTTTCCAGTCGGACACTGATGATACCAAGCTGTTCCAGCGAATTACGCGATCAAAATCTTTGCATCCCCCAGTTTTCACATGGGAGTCTGCAGTTTGGATGCCCTTTTTATTCATCTCCCCAGCATACGGTAAATCATTGTAAATCATATAGCTCTTCACCCTGCATAAGTATTTAATTAGTGCCCCACATGTTCCCCGAACTTTCCGGACTCAAGTTGAACCACAAAAGAAGCGCCTCATCCAGCCGAGTCTCTCAGAAGGCCCCTCACCAGCTGAAAAATATCCTGCGCAGGCAACCCAAGTTTACCTGACCCTATCGAAGTGTTTCTTGTGGCCCCTGGAGTTCCAAAATTGAGATCTTTGGCCAATGCCCTCTGGTAAACTAACATAGCTATGGAAAATCACCATGTTTAATGGGAAAATCCACTATAAATGGGTCATTTCCCATGGCTATGTTAAATCACCAGAGGGTAAGCATATTCGAACAACCTTATTACACACCGATGGCTTTCCCTACCATCTGGTGAAATCCCTTCTGGTGGGGTCCCCACACCCATCTGAAGCCGTTACCGTTAGGATGACGGGAAGCACATTCTCTGCCAACAATTGAAATAAACACATGATGGAGCTTATATATGCTTATATATGCTTATATATGCTTATATATGCTTATATATGCTTATATTATATTCTATGGCCATGAAATGCCAGCCATATAGCTTCGCAGCCCTTTGTTTCCAATGTCTTATAGCCTTCTGATAGCGTCATTTTATAAAAGTTCTGCTTAAAATACCAAGAAGAAAGCAAATGTGAAGCTGAAGCTGCAACATGGTTATCTTTATGTTACAGTATCTTCCCAAGAGAACCAACATGAAAATGATTCAACAGACTGCAAAGATGCAAAAACGACTGGACATATCTGGACATATGTCCCAAAAACTGTTGGGGCCATGAATCGACCACTTGTGTCATGGAGTTCCTGCAGCTGCCTTTGGGAGCTGTCCAGTGGCTGTCCTGGAAAGCTTTGAAATGCTTGAAGAAGAGCCTCAAACACCGATCCATGGAAACATGGAGTGCCCATTGGGTCGTTGAACGGCACCATTCTCTATTGCAAAGAACGCTGAATCTCATCTCCTTTTGGTCAAAATAGAGGGGCCGGTTTGGTATACCATCATATACAGTACCATCTACCATCATGGCTGAACCTAAAATTTTCCAGGAAAGGTTACGAAGTAATGCTCTTGTGACAAGACATGGCACGGCAGGCCATTCAAACCGCTCAAATCCCAGAGTTGGGCCTGCCAGGGATGAGCGTACGTAATCCCATCCCTCCTACCATATGACTAACAGTTCGCCATGGAAAATCCCCAACATAAATGGAGTTTTAATGGGAAAATCATCTATTTCTATGGGCTATTTTCCATGGCTATGTTAGTCATAGCCAGAGGGTAATATTAAACCACCCCATGGTATGGTATGGTTCCAAATATTAGCGTACCGTAGATCAATGTATGATCAATGTAAATCGCCTACTGAACCATGGTTTCTAGGGGATGTTTCATATGAGGAAGGAATTATTTGGTAGAACAATGAGGGCCAACTCGGGCGCATCGCCAAGCAACACGATTCTCAGCAGCCGAAGCATGCCTTAGAAAATGATGGATCCATGGATCCAGTGCATGGTCCACCATTTTCGAGGACACAGATGGGTCTCAATATAGGGTGCCCAGAAATTGTTCAAAATTGGTGGTATCATGGTGGCATCCCCCATTTTGAGACAATCCCATATAGGATCGCTTGTAGGGGCGTGCGAATGGTATTGCCAGTTTGAAAGTTGGACCTTTGTTGCCATTTCCTGATCATCTTGCTGTCCTTCAGCAACGGGCCATTGTCATTTTAAGATATTTTAAGCGCTCATCAAGTGGCCACTGGTGTCAACTCCCTCTCCTTTTGCTGCTTCAGTTCGTCTGAAAAGCAACTCCATCCCACGATTCAAATCACCTCATATTCTCCACATCTGCCACAATTTAGGTACGAGTATCTGTTAGTCCGGAAAAGCCCAGGTATCAAATACGCTAAGTCATGTATCCCATTAAGTGCCACCTTAAAATGATTGGTTTCAACATGTTAATTCCCGATTTCAGTTGCTTGAAACCTATTTTGGAGTTTCAACATCGATCTATACCAACGGTCGGCTAAAGATCATTAAATATCTATCCCAATTTCAGCCATCTACACCGGGTAAAATTACCATCATTTTTTGAAAAACACGTGACATTAATTGACATTATGTTTTTAAATCCGGGCACATCGATCTTTATAAATGAGATGGCTAGCACAAATAGACATGAACTTCCCATGTTCTTTGCTAAACTTTACCAATTTTACTTATTTTACCCATCATTTCCTCGTTGTATCTTCCTCGGTGCTTCCGCCGCGCGGCGAACGGTGCGCAGGACTTTGAGGAGATCGGTGGCCGAGGAGGTTTCCACCAAGGGTTGAAAGGCCCAGACCTGCCACGGGGAACAGCTTCAGCGTCCCCCAGTGGCACCAGGGTAGACCATGGTGGATGTACCCTCTGGTAAACTAACATAACTATTATGACTATGGAAAATCAACATTTTTAATGGGTAAATCCACTATAAATGGCCATGTTCAATAGCTAGGTTTATTTACCAAAGGGTACTTGGATCATCTTGGATCCCAGTGGCGAAGAACATCGAAGTGGATCCTCTCATGAGGTGAACTAAGCCCAGGCACCACGATTTGTGGGATCCTCCAAGGGATAGGTTTCTGCTGACTGGGTCCATTTACTCCGGCTGTAACTATTTAAGATCAACGGGGATTGGGATTCTTCCGGTTCCTGAGGTCAACACAAAAAAATTAGGTGCTCCATGGGATTACCCCCGAAAACATACAGAGGTGCCCTGTAAAAACCCAAGAAAAACACGGGTCTATCCACCTTGCAACATTTATTCCATTCACAGCCTGCCGGCAGAATCATCAACAGAACAGTGCCACAACAAGCATCCCTGGCTGGATGCCAACGAATCCACAGGTGTGCCAAGTGAAAATAAGATTCTTAATACCGAGGATGAGGATGAAGATGAGGATGAAGATCAGGGATCAGGATTATTATGGTGGTGATGAGGAGTACTATGAACATTGTAATTGTGATCATTGTCGCTAATGATCGTTAATGATACAGTTGCTCGTTTCTGTTCCATCCATGCCAATAGTGACTAATGCTATAGAGCATGTAGTGAAGTCTCTTGATCGTTTCCACGATGTCTGAGTCTTTTCTTCGATATATTGATTCTTGAATGATTCTTGACCATGATTCCAATTATGTCTTGATATTATGTATATATATATAATTATATATTATAATTAATGTATATATTTGCCCATTGATTTGTATTTCATTTCTTGATTTATCTATGTCTTTTTTCTCAACCCTTCATGATTTTTTCATGTGGCTTTGTCCATGACCCCGGTTTCAAAGCCATAACCCATGGTGCCAAGCCGCAGCCAGCACCCCTGGAACCCAGACCTCGGTTGTGGCAATGCGGAGGATTGCTAGACCTTTGCATGGTTCAATTCAAGTATCCAAGCCTGCTGCTGTCTACATCCGCTTCATTAAACCCTCTCCTATTGGCTTCTGACCCTAGCAGCTTCTGGAAGTCGCTTAAGCCGTTTTCCGCGTCAATCACGTGATAAGACCAAAGCAAGGCGCATAAATAAACCAAAGTAGTCTTTCAACTGCGACACTTTGAAACGGGACCCAAAGCGGTGCGCCACGGAAGACAGCAGTTCACCAGGGTACACCAGAGCTTTGGCACAGGACCAAAGAGGGAACTGCGATATTCAAGTCATTTCCTTTCAGCTTTGGAAGTAATATGTTCAAACGTGCTGCTGCACAGATCATAATACTGCCAGCTGCAAGGAAATGCGCTACTGCAGGAGATGGATCCTGAAGAACAACAAGGTCCCCCAAGCTGCACAAATCTTGGGCATTCAATGGCATTCATTCCATTGATTTTAGGAGGGATCTCCACCACGATGGCTGGTGCTGCCACCAGCAGGTTGAACAACTGTTGCTCTGAGACAACCGCGCAAACCTCCACAGGATATTGGCCAGTTGTCGTGGCTCTGAGTGGCCGTCCAGCACCATATTCTTGAACCTGCTCATGTGGTCCAAGAATCTGGGAGCTTTCCCAGTCGCTTGGTCGTAAGACATCCTCCTTTTGAAGGTCACTACTAGTTGGGTGTAAATCTTCAGACTTGATGTCAACCTCCTTCTGCTAGACCTCAACATCGTCCTGCTGGCAATCTGTTCACTTCACCGGACCCTCATGAGGCTCACCTGTACCGTGGTGGCCGTTTTTCACATGGCCTGGAACATGACATGAGGCACCATGCCAGTGGCAGTCAGGGTGTGGAACCCACTAGGGTTTGACAGTTTGTCATGTTGGTTTCGCGATAATATACCAACAATTCTGGAAACTGTTGTTGTCAAAGCCCCATGATTTGCGATATTGATTCTCGCTGTGACTAGATCTGATCTGCAAGATTCCCAAGGACAAGTGAGCCGCAAAAATGCAAGAAATCAGCATCAACATCAAATAAAATCAAATAATTATCATTGCCCCTCCACTCCCTTTCATGTTTCTACCTGATTCTACCTGTGTATGGGATCTGGGATGAACATTCAAAAACTCACTTTGGTAGTATGCATATGAACCAACACCGTCGACACCAGCATATGGGAATAGCTGAAAAAGGAGCACGAATGAGCCCACAAGCTGGGTCAAGAAGTCTGAGTCCAATCTGCTGTACAGGGTGGACTGGGTGGTGCCTCCCCAGTTATAAGTTGGTTTCTATTTACTCCCCATTTGCTGTATCTCGGTAAATGATAATATTGCACTAACCTGAAATAAGGCCTTAACTGGGGCTGATTCCTCTTATACCATGATTCCAGGGCTCGGGAGAACAGTGAGGTCGTTAATTATAATTTACCCAGATGTATCAACCACAACCCCAAGTGGGCCGCGACACGATAAAGGTATCGAAGATGATGATGGGATCTAAAAGCCATCGCAGCCCCATGACCTGCGTTGGTCAACAACGTTGCGGCGGGGCACATCTTTCGGTGGTCCCCTAAGCCACATCTTTTTTTTCAATGATGAAAAGCCACCACTTAAATACTTAAGACTAATAGATATCAGCTACTCTCTGGTTATTTAACATAGCCATGGAAAATGGCCCATTTATAGTGGATTTACCCATAAACAATTGTCATTTTCCGTTATGTTAGTCATAACCAGAGGGTATATCATAATCCCCAATGATATATGGTAGATCCCTATAGATACCTCCAATTTAGGTTCCTGAAATGGCCATTGACAATCCATTGACTATATCATATGGCCGTTATGGCCACATACAGAAAAACTTTAAACTGAAATAACCATGGTGGTGAACATACCATGCATTTTCTACATCAACTTTAACCCAATGAACATACAATATTTTCATATATTTTCTATATTTCAATGATTCTCATGGTAATTTCAATGGTTTGTGACACCTTGTTGGACACAATTCTTGGACACAAGCCTGCCCTAAAAATCGGGGTGGGGGCCTTCAAGCGCACCAACCACTCCAGGAGGAAGAAACTGGTGACTGCACTCTCCATAAACCTGGTCGAAAAAGGGATCGAGGAAGGAGGGTCATTGGAGTGAAAACCTTCGTCTACGGCAAGTGCGAAGCATCAACGGGGTTCTAGGGAAATGTGAACTATACATGGGTTATTGTCAATGTTTGTCAATTATGTTGATTTCTGAATTGGTGGGCTGCACAGAGTGAAAGCTGAGGTGAGCCAGGGAACACCCCAGTTCTGGGGACATGGACGTGAAGAGCAATGAACAAACCCCTCTACTCAGGGATGGTGATTTCATTCGAATTTGTTCATATTCCAAATCAATCTTGAGGACAGGAAGCGGATGTCTTTACTCACAAAGTCTTAAGCATGGCGAAGATTAGACAATAGTGATCTGGAAACTAATCTTGGAATTTCCAAGTGCATTTTCCAAGCGGAATTTCTAAAATCTTCTACTGTAATCGAAGTTTCCGGAAACTGACCCCTTGGAATTGGGACTCAAAAAACCCCCCGCTCCATATCTGAGACCAAAGAAGGGCAACATTCAGTCAGACTCATGGTACCGAGCTTCAAGCACACCAGAATACACACACACATAGACAAAACTTCCATTTTAGCAATCTACACTCTAAATGGGCAGACATTGAAATGGAACATAACATATATAGCATGGAAGCAAAGCATGTCCTAACAAGTCAATTTATTTTATGTTTTTATTTCACTATATTACTCTCAACCAAGGTGCTGCAGAAAGATGGGTGCGTCCAGTCCATCCATTTCCCACGCCACGGTGAGAACGCCTTGGTACATTGGAACAAAGCAAGTCCTGGATGCGGGGAAAAAATGGGAAAAACAACAGTGCCACCTTTGAAGTTTTCATTTTTCTTCCAATCCCCAAAACTTTGGTTCTCTAAATCCATTTATATCATTTATATAATGTATATTGATGTGGGTTTGTGTTTGAAAAGGTGGGCACAACGACGAAGAAACAAGTTTGTTGGATTGTCAGTCTCCAAGTCTGGACAAACACACATATCATACTATCTATCCCATATTTAGCTTCGTTTTGAGGCGGATCATTATAAGAGGCCATGATGGAACCCAAGAAATTTGTTTTCCGGTACTTTTGATCTTCTATAGAGGTTGAAGATTATGATCCAAATCTTGGATACCCTTGAATTCTTTTTGCGTGTGTGTGTGCGCAAGTAAACTTAACATATCACAATCATGAATTCATACGAAACACAGTTATAGAGTACCCTATGATAATCAAACACATGGCAACGGAAAACCCTGTCGTCTATTCTGTACTATGATTTTCCCATCACATAACACTATTTATTTATATATGTATTAATAATGTATATGTTTGTGTATATGCATATGTATATCAGTATATGCATATGTGTATATATATATGTATATGTGGAAGATTTTCCATATCTTTGATGACCGGGAGGTTATATATATGTTATCCTTCATAGCATGCCTCCAATCGAAGGCCCATGTTCGCAACAAGTGACTGAGGATGATCACCACACCACAGCCCATCTCGAAAATCCATGATGTGGCAAAAGCCACCTGCTAGGGATGGATAATGGATTGGAAAACCATGGGGTTTTACCCATGGGAAAACCATGGGAAAATCGGTTTAACCGGTGATTTTCTCATGATTTTCCCGAGATTTTCCCAATCCATTGGGACATGGATCCCGATGTTTCTTTCTTGTTGGCTTCACAGCGGATTCCGGCGGATTCCGGACCAAAAAACCCAAGGATTCCATCTGCTATTTCCCGAACAAGTTCTGCATGATCATATGGAAGCCCCATTTGTACGTCATATATACATTGCAAATATATATATATATGTGTGTGTGTATCTATGTATGTATATATATATATACATATATATATATATATTATATTATATATATATATTATATATATATATATTATATTATATCTATATATGTATATAGGGACACATCCTTAGATACTCAAATTTCAGCATCTCCAGTCATCGCAGAGGCTGTGCACCTCAATGTCACGTTGCTCATCTGTCCTCGGCAGTATTTTGGAGGGCTACCCTGCGGGTAAACATACAGGAGGTCCACATCTATGGTGGGATTTATGTGGAAAGCCCTTTCGGAAAATGGTCTATGATGTCTATGGTCATGGTGGGTGTCCACATCTATGTTTACAGGAGGCTAACCTGGTTTACTGTGCTGGTTAGATATTTATAGATCTTTATTGTACCAGGTGGGACCCAACTGGATGATCGTGACAACCTCAGATCTTGCTGCACCCCAGACGCTTTACTGTTTGCTTGGGCTGGTACCATTTTCGTAGCAAGTTATCATAATATATCCTAGTTGATGTTTTATCCAAAAAAAACTATTTGGGGAGTTATAAACCCCCTAGTTGATCAATCACGGTTTATCAGTCGTTCATGCTATCCGAAGTCTATCCCCAATTGGGTGACAGGACCAATTTGGTTGACTTAGATCCCAAAAATTAATGGCATCAAATGTTGTAGGTAGATGATGGTAGATGTAGGTAGGTAATTAGTGAGCTGTGACATAGTGTGCGCAAATGTAGGTGCTCTACTGTGTATATGTGCTGTAGAATCTTGGATAGATGGAAGAATACATGTGAAATCTGCATGCACCATGACACCATGTATCTGCCTCTATGATTAAATCTGTACACGTATTCATTCACGTATATCCAATAGCTGTGTCTCGATGTCTCGATGTCCCATCGGACCATGCTAGGCCACATCATTTCCTGGCATTGAAAAACACCACCTGAAGGATTTACAAAATGGCGTGTACATAAAATGACCTTACCCAAAATGGCACCTTGTATGTATGTATAGTTTGGGCGGGGATGGGAGAGTGTCTTGATCACGGGCTTTTGAAAAGAATCATTGCAGTGACAGGGCTCTTTTCAAATAGCACTTCTATCTTGTATGATTACACTCTCGCAATGCAAGCTGGCTATGGGAAATCTGAATTTGAATGAGACAATATGTAAGATATGTAAGAATCTCAAGAGAAAAAGATGGAAAAAACAACTATCCACACAGAATCTACCCTCTGGTAATTTAACATAGCTATTGAAAATGGTGATTTATAGTGGATTTTCCCACTAAAAATGGTGATTTTCCATAGTTATGTTTTAAGACATCGGTTGGCCTCTTTGTCTGTGGCCATGTCAAGGCTATTTCTAACATATAAAGTGCTATTTCTAAAATATATAGAGCTATTTCTAAAATATCTAAATCTAATTGTAAAAAACACATTGGTTCTAGAATCTAGAAAGTGTAATTTTATGTGGCCACTTGCACATCACAAAAGCTTCAAGATTGCAAATTCACCTTTGTTGTTTTTAATGTCTTGGTTTCGGGAAAATATGGTGACAAAACCGCTTTCCAAGAACCATGTGTGTTGCAAACGAAGTTTGGGATTTTTTGGTGGATGTCGCTCGGAACCGCAGCAATTCCAAAGATCAAAAAACTGAACCGTGCATATCAATAGCAATGGGTGCAATGAGCAAGGAAGAGCCTCCAAAGAAGCGTTGCTCCGAACTTTGTGGAAGTTGTTGTTTTGTTTTTTTGTTTTGTTTTCGTTTTTCGTGTCTGTGGTTCTCCGTGGCAGGCGCCGCCAAAATATATGAGCATATGTGATTCTGTGTGTGGCAGGTGTGGCAAGAATATATGTGAAGTGTTGCGTGCTTGTGGGCGTGGCAGGTGTGGCCAAAATATGTGTTAAAAAAATTAGTGTTGGTGCGCGCGCGTGGCAGGTGTGGCAAGAACAATGTTTGTGTGGCAGGTCTGGCGATAAGGCATGGTGTCTCTGTGAGTGTACTTGTGGCAGGTGCAGTGATAACAATATGAGTGTATGTAAGTATGCAAACTGAGGCCGTCGTGTGGAAGGCCCTCCACAGCCACCTAAGACACAGCCACCATGGCACGTTTTCGCACTAGAGTTGGAGGATTTTGGGCCACCACTGCAGCCCGCGTCTTTTTTGTCTCGGAAACACTGTGCAAAAAAAATGCGTTTGTGTGGTGTGTTTTGCGTGATAAGGTATCCCAATGACCCGGTGAAACGCCACGCGCATGAGCTGTTCCAATGCAGAGTGAACAGGCTCCTAGATTGCACAATGGGCCATAAGCTTACAAAAAGGAGCATGGCTGTGTTTTGGAGATCTGGGATGTTTTTGACACTTGATCAAAAATCTAACAAAGATCTGCATGAGCTCATTGAGCTTCTGATTGAAAAGCGGGTCTTGTTCACAAACACAGACTTGAAGAGTCAGTGCTGGCCACTCTGAATATGGATGGATCGGTGAGAACATGCGCGATGACAGGTGCGCTGAGAAAAAAATGCGTGTGGCTCGAATTAAAGAACAAAAAATACTTGGATGCAATCCAAAAAAAGGAAAGCAAACAAATTTCAAGTGTGTGATCAAATTCGCAAAGATTGATCTGGAGTGGATCGAGTTGGAAACAGCAAGGACAATTTGGCATTAAACCATAAGATCAAGCATCGTACTCCAGCAAACCTGCAATCTGAGAATCAAATATCAGTCCCAAAGATATCCATAGATCCTGGAGGATCCTGGGGTATATAGAATTTCAAATTACAGTCATATCATATTTAGATAACTGTGTCCAGTAGGCATTCACTGCTTGCAACTCATTCTCGTTTTCTCACGCAATTGCTTGGTGGTTGATGATCTGACGTTCAGGCGTGCTCTTTGAAATGTGTCGATCAGGATTGTGTGATGATGTTTTTTTTTAGTTCCTATGTTTCTGAATACGGGGTTACAATGCAGTGGCAGACGGGTTTTGTATTCCGTACCATCCTTTCCTTTACTTATTGTTACTTTCTGTTAATGAGCTATGGGCTATGGCCCACTAAGATTGGATATGTACTGTACTGTATTTTTTCTTGTTTTCACCTGGCATGGCATGCCCATCCACTTGTGTGCGCATAGCATAGGACCATGTAGTTGGACACCGACTGCTGCACGGCCGTGGCAGGAAGTGGTTTTTCTTTTACTTTTTCAATGCATTTCAAGGGTTGGGGTGGGGTGGGGCATGTTAACGTTCCTTGTAAGTGGCACGCAACGCAACTGAAGGGTTGGGTTGGGGTGGGGTGGGGTGGGGTGGGGCATGCATTAACGTTCATGTGAACTTGGGGAGAAAGAAAATGCTTCTCTGTGGCTGCCGGTAGGTGAATATATGCACGGGTGGGCTGGGGTGGGGTGGGGCATGTATTAACGTTCATGTGAACTTGCGGAGGACGAACATGCTTCTCTGTGGCTACTGTACGTTCTCTGGAACCTTCCATGCATGCGTCATGCTACGCTACTGTAAGTTCTCTGGAACTTTCCACTCATACATACGGTATATACGTCATGCCACGCTATTGTAAGTTCTCTGGGACCTTCCATGCATACGTCATGCTACGCGACTGCAAGTTCGCTTGAACTTTCGACACATGCGTCATGCCACGTTGGTGTACGTTCTCTGGAACCTTCCATGCATACGTCATGCTGCGCGACTGTAAGTTCTCTCGAACTTTCCACTCATGCGTCATGCCACGCTATTGTAAGTTCTCTGGAACTTTCCACTCATGCGTCATGCCACGCTATTGTAAGCTCTCTGGAACTTTCCACTAATACGTCATGCTACGTTACTGTAAGTTCTCTTTTACCTCCCACTCACACGTCGTGCCACGCTATTGTAAGTTCTCTGGAACCTTCCATGCATGTGCATGCTACGCTGCTGTATCGGGATTAAGAACATGTAGTTATGATTGCACATGAAGTGGATGCTACGGGTGGGTAGGTGGAGACGTTAACCAGATATCTTAGCTGCAGCTGCTGACGATCTATGTGATGTTGACGATCTATATGGTGTTGAGGATGCTGATGATGATGATGATGCTGATGATGATGATGATGTGATGATGTGATGATGATGATGATGATCATGATCATGATGATGATGATGACGATGGTGATGATGATGATGATGCTCATTATGATGATGACAGTGCAAATAAAACAAGTAGTTTTCTGAAACGACAATGATGCATTTTCACATGCTGGATGTGCAAAAATATTGTTTCGCTATAGCGGCGTGCTTATTTTCTATTCACACCATGGACATTTTTACCACGGCCGCGAAACAATCGTAAACCATGTAGTTGCCAGTGTCATTGCCAGCCAGCAACAAAGATCCATGACCCAGCTATCATTTGTTGTGAGGCACCAGTCAAAAGGTCAGCCTTTCTTGTTCAGTTCATGTGACCTTTTTGGATGATGACATATTGGGCACATGACCGCATGGCCCTGGATTGCTCATTAACCCTTTAGTTGGTTCTTATGATGGGGCTTTTCTTGGGCTGTCCCAAGTCCGTCGTTGGGCCGTTGGGTCTTCCGTGAAGCCGTAAAAGAAAAAAAGAAACAAAACTAATTCTAAATCAATCCAGGACTATTTCTAAATCAGTCCAGGACTATTTCTAAAATCAAACCAGTACAATACTGTTTCTAAATCAGAGCAGGAAGATTTCTCAACCATTAGCCGAGCCAGCCAGACCATTCCCAAAGCCCAACCAGCCAGGATGGTGCACGTCGAGCTGAAATTGTGAGCTTGGCGAAGAAGATAAAACGGGATTTGAGGATGGGGAAGGCAAATGGGCCAATGGTTTTTTCAAAGCACCATGACTTGTCTGGCCTCGGCCTCAATGGCCGAGAGATTGAAGCGTTGGATCTGAACCATGCTTCACTTGAAGTGGCTTGGTTCAACCGTCTTCTTGGCAGCGGTTGTCAGTTCACTTTTTCAATTATTGTTATTGATCAATCATTGAGCCATTGATGATGAATTATTTATGTTTGTTGTTCTCATATTTTTAAACTATATTTTTATATATTATATTTTATGTTTTTGATGTATTTTGTATGTAGGCACTTTGGGACGTGCCAGAAGCCGCTCTAAACCATTGAGAGCCGTTTCAAAGACATCTGCGAGGAATGGCTCTGAACCGCTCTGAACCGTTTAGTTCTTTCTCTCATTGCCCAAACACGGTTCCAAAATCCATGAAATTTAGAAACCGCTCTAAACCGCTCTAAACCGCTCTGGACTAATTGGGAAAATGGCAGGCGATAACTAGAAATAGAACTAAACCGTTTAGAGCCGCTTGGCGCTATTTCTTACTTGATTTTATACAAAGCTCTGAACCGCTTAGAGCCGTTTAGCGCTATTTCTAAAACAACCTCCCATAGATAGCTCTGAACCGTTCAGAGCCGCTTCTCACTACCTCACATCACATATCATATCATCATCATATCAGAGCATTGTATATAACATACATTAATCATAACATGTTATTTATCATGTAATACTGTAATAGTAATAGCAATAGTAATGGCAATAGTAATGGCAATAGTAATAGTAATAGTCATAATTTCATAAGATACCATAACATAAGATGACTTCGCACAAGAGAGCATAGCATAACATACTTTAACAAATCATCATTTACAAAGAATCCAGTTGTGGGCCTTGACAACGCATGTTTCCGAGATGTTTCAATGAACTTTTGATTCAGCAATCACCAGCCCCCAAGGAGCAATGAAACAGTGGCACTGCTGTTATCATTTTGATCATCAACATGAGCATCACCAGGTTCATCCTGTTCATCATCACTGCCGCCATCATCATCATCATCATCATCATCATCATCCATCATGGTGTAGTTTACACAAACCGCTTGCTTAGGTGTCTGTTGGCGACCCTATCACGAAGCAGTGCTTTACTGATGTGGCGCGTCAGTCACTCAGAGGATTGCCAGCAGGCACAATGCGCGTGTTAGGGTTTGTTTTGGCCGAGCGCGCTGAGCGCGTGCTAGGGTTTGTTTTGGCCGAGCGCGCGAGCGCGTGTTAGGGTTTGTGGAAAGGCAAAACAGGTGTAAAGCAATATTATGTCCTGACCTTCAAAGCATCTCTGCAATACTTTCCTTTTGCTCAGTAAATGTTTCAGGTTTTGGTTTTCAGCTGTATGGACGAGCGCGCCGAGCGCGCCGAGCGCGCCTTAGGGTTTGTAGAAGGCAGGAGGCAGAGACAAGTTTGGATGTTGCAATGATCCTTTGAAGTTAAGACTTGCTTTTGGGCTTGTTTGCTTTTCGTGAGACACTAACGCGCACGCTCGGCGCGCTCAGCGCGCTCGGCGCGCTCGGCGCGCGCTCGGCGCGCGCTCCTGGACGAGTGCGCCGAGCACGTGTTGGAATTTGTGAAATGCACAAGACCAACAGCAAGTCACATTCTGACCGACAAAGTATCTCTGGAACATTCTGCTTATTATGCAGAATATGCAAAAGCAAGCTTAGGGGTTTGGGTTTAGGGTTTGTGGTCGAGCGCGCCGAGCGCGCGTTAGGGTTTCTGAAAAAGTAAAAAGCCAAGAGCAAGCTTGATTTTTAAAGGATCTTTGCAACACTCTAGTTATGTAAAATATGCAAAAAGCAAGCTTTGCAACACTCTAGTTATGTAAAATATGCAACAAGAAAGCTTAGGGTTTTGGGGTTAGGGTTTGTGGACGAGCGCGCTGAGCGCGTGTTAGGGATGTTATAGGGTTTGTTTTGGCCGAGCGCGCTGAGCGCGTGCTAGGGTTTGTTTTGGCCGAGCGCACTGAGCGCGTGTTAGGGTTTGTGGAAAAGCAAAACAGGTGTAAAGCAATATTATGTCCTGACCTTCAAAGCATCTCTGCAATACTTTCCTTTTGCTCAGTAAATGTTTCAGGTTTTGGTTTTAAGCTGTATGGACGAGCGCGCCGAGCGCGCGTTAGGGTTTGTAGAAAAAGCATGAGGCAGAGACAAGTTTGGATGTTGCAATGATCCTTTGAAGTTAAGACTTGCGTTTGGGCTTGTTTGCTTTTCGTGAAACACTAACACGCGCTTGGCGCGCTCGGCGCGCTCGTGGCAGTTTGAGTTTTGTGGACGAGCGCGCCGAGCGCGTGTTGGAGTTTGTGAAAAGCACAAATCTGATGGTTTGATGCGACCTTGGTGATATGATATCACTTTTGCGCGACATCACAGTATGGGTGCATCACTTCGTGTTTTCATTTGCATACCATCACATACAACACACCCCATTTGACATTTGTATACATTGGGGACCACGTTCT